GTTCCTTCCGTCAGTGTTTTTGTTATTGTCATAATCTTTAGAATCCCATATGCTTACAACTACTTTTGTATGATGGACGTAACATAATTAAGGAATAAAATCCGACGGGCACAATTTACAATTTAAACCGCACCTCTCCATCTCCAAAAACCTCACCATTTTGCAGGTGAATTGCACCGGGTTGAGTTCTGCTGTGCCCATCCAGTACCCTCTCCAACAAATTAAGCACGCACATAAAAACTTCTCTCGGACTTAAGCCACTAATTGCACCGAACATAGCTGGCGATATGATATGATCGGACACATTAAGTACTTGCTTAGCCGGAAATTCCCAGCCGGATTACAGCTAATTGCCGTGCAAATTTTCCCCTTCTCGCATAAAATTTCCGGTGGCTTCGCATGCAGTGTGTAACAAACCGGTAATAATAAACTAATAATGGTAAAGTTTTGGGCTTTTTTCCCAGAACGGGTAGGCCGTGTACTTGGCGGCCGCTGTGGACGCTACAGGAGATCGCGTCCAGCTGGCACGAGGGCATGATCAAAACGCCACGTATGATGGCATGCACAGTTGCGAGAGTTGCCGGTCAAAATGTTAAAAATGAGATGTACGGACTCATCTTTTCCCTTATATTTATGTTTATATTTTATCAGTTAAATTTTAAATTTTTAACCTTAAATTTAGAGTTGATTTTGATTTTTTTTTCATCGTAATTTATTTATCAGCTTTTGCTTTTAGATCATTATGAAGACGTATGTAAAAGTTATATTTATAAATTATTTTTCGTTTGCAAACTCGAATAAGACAAAAGATGGGGTTGTGGTTAGTAGAGGTGGCAGTATTGAGATTAAGGTAAATGCTAGGGGCCAACATGGGCATTACACCGGTAATATAAACGCTGCTGTTTATAATTCAATCTGCGTCGTGTTGCTCTTAATCCTAAACGGAAAGCAGCGGTTCACCTACCTAATTATTTTGTTGGTGATGGTGTTAACGTTTGGCTTGGGCACTTAAACAGTACTTAATCCTACCTATGGCTCACTTTCATAGTGGAATATTGTGTTATGCCATCCAAACCTTATCTCCATTAAAACACTAAAGTAATGGAGATCACTTGTGAACATACGGCCAAAAGGACACATTTAGCAACACAAATAATACATGATTTTCGTAGAAATAAGTTTAATACTCATAAAATTACTCCAAAATTTTATATTTACCCTAACACAAATACTAGTAGATTACAGAGAACTAGCTACTATATTATGACGTGCATGCTTGCAAGCCGTTAAACGGTGCAATTTTTAAAAGAGCTTTATGTATAGAAGTGCTTTTTTAGCAAGTAAATGCAATATTTAAGTTTGTATTATAGAAGTTTTAACATTAATCGTACGTTAATTATCTTTTTAGTAAGCCAAGAGGCTAATCTCTCAATACTCTGAAATGTACTCTGCTCTATTAATCTTTTCAGTTCTACAGAGTGAAAGTTGAAAAGTTGAAATGTGGTCGATTAAATCCACGGAGGCCGCTTAGTCAGGGGGCAGGGCTTGCCACGTGGATGCGGAGGGAATATTCCGTCGGGATCTCCACTCCACGGCCGACGTGAAGGTGACGACCCGAGCCTACCCTGAGTGGGGCCCACTGCCCACATGAGGTGGACGTGCTTAGCTGGCAGTGCGGGTGTTCTCCCCGGACGCGCCACGCATGTCTTGCTGACCCTGTCCCGTGGGGAACGTCAATTTACCATACTGCCCTTCGCTCTCCTTTTTCCGTGTTTTCTTGGTTGCATGTATGGTTTGTTGGTAGCGGGTAGGTAAATTTTACAAACATCAACTTAGGGGGTGTTTTTGGTGGTGTTGGTACAGGAGTGCAAAGTTTTGGCGTGTCACATGTGATATTATATAGAGTGTTGCATGGAATATTCAGCACTAATAAAAAAACTAATTATAGAATCCGTCAGTAAAGACGAATTTATTAAGCTTAATTAACCCGTCATTAGCACATGTTTACTTTAGCACCAAATTTTCAAAACATAGAGCAATTAGGCTTAAAAGATTCGTTTCACAAATTAGTCGCAATCTGCGTAATTAGTTATTTTTTAGCCTATATTTAATACTTCATGTAGGTGTTAAACGTTTGACGTGATATGGTGTAAAATTTTAGGGTGAGGTGTGTTTAGTTCCACGCCAAAATTGAAAGTTTGAAGAAATTAGAACGATGTGATGAAAAAGTTGAAAATTTGTGTATGTATGAAAGTTCGATGTGATGAAAAAGTTAAAAGTTTAAAGGAAAAAAGTTGAAATCTAAACAACTCCTGAGATCTAACATGCCCTTAGGATTGAGGGCTCGTTTACACTACAATATTCTCACTCCCTCCCATCCTATAATACTGATCATTCTATACTGTTTAGTATAAATTAAAGTTTAAAAAGAAAATACTGCAATATCTCTTATTGAAATGTAAGTAGGTGAGTAGTGGGGATAAAATGGAGAGAAGCTAGAATAGGAGATGATTGATGGGACAAATAGATAGGATGATATGAACTATTTTGAGACAATTTTTGAACTCTAGAAAAATAATTATTTTGTGATGGAAAGAGTTCATCATAAAACATGGAAAATACATGGTTTAGAGTGTCCTATTGATTAAAACCCCCCCTAAAAAGATAGAAATAACTGTTTCGATGGAATGCAGGGAAGCGTAGCAATTAGAGGAAAGATAAACACAGACAATTTTTTTTCCATGAATAAAATTCTTCCAAGATCACTATGTTTTGACAGGGGTTTTAACTATTTGTCACTTTTAAATTTGGTAAATAAATATTTGTCACCCCTATCTTAATGACATATGGGTCCAGTGGCAAAAAGTTAATTGCCACATCTAAATGTGGCAAATGGTTAAATATTCCTGTTTTGACCCAACACAAAGGAATTTCGTATGATTTTTTTAACTATTCCTTTAATCCAAAGAACTATATATGCAAATTTTCTATAATATTTCATGACTTTGTTTCAAAGGAGCCAAAAAGCTTGCTGAAGAAAATAATAATAATTTTAGACTGAATTACATGCGAAGACCAATTTTTTTTTTGTTTTGTATAGTGATACAGTTATAATGAGGAATGTTGTGTTGATGTTTCTCACCAGAACTTAGAAATTTATTTACATATGATGACATAGTGCATAGCTTTTTATTTAGTTTTATACAAGGATAACATTGAGACACAGGAAGCGGTTAGGAAGGAATGTGTTCCGGTGTGCGTGGTTGGCAAGAACATGAAAGCGAAAAGCACAGTGTTTGTTGTGGGGGCAGAACGGTCATTTTGGCGTCCACTGGAAATCTATGGTGTGCTGTCTCTTCTCATCCCTTCTCTCTCTGTTTTTGGGAAGCAGATTCTCTGGTTTTTAGGGTATGCTTGCGTATGCAGTGTGAGAGAGAAGGCTGGAAAGCTTCGGGACCGAGCTCCATGCTTCCCTCTCTCTCTTTCTCTCATGAATTTTGATGGCCTCGGAAAATGCAATATGCATCCGTTTTTGAAGATTTCATAAATGCATATTTACATTTGTTTCCTGCATAAGAACAGTGAAAACAGATGAAAAACATGATTGGTTTTTTCTTCGTTATCATTGAACTATGTATTTGTTACCATATTATGAAATTTATGTATCCCATATAACTTAGATATCTCTTATTAAAGTTGAGTCTCAAGTAAAATTGTGGAGCGTTCTAAACACAACACTACATTTCAAATTCATTTTGTGAGAGTTTCAGCCATCTCCACTCTCTTTTTGAGAAGAGCATAAACTGTTGGCTGAACTATAGCTCAAGAAAAGTAAAAATATAGCTGGCACTATGTTAAAAAGACCCTAATACGTGCGGACGTAAAATCTAAACGTGGGCGTAACTGGAAGATTGCCACTCCATTTCAGAAATTGTATAAGAAACCTTTGTGTTGATGAAATATGTTTTTTTTTTAAACGTCATGGTGTTACCTAAAAGGTTATGGAAGATTAAGGAATCAATGTAACTAGAGATATGCACGCTTGTAGAAAGCTTATTGCCATATTATCTAATACGTAATTTTCAAAGCTTCTTTGATGTGATCAAACTTTTATATCCCCGCGGACATTGTGATATTAATTAAGGATGGAAAATTTCAGATCACACGATAATGTTAATGAGCGTATATGTAAAAAGATAATCTCTTTACACGTATTTTGCTTGCTGACTCATATAGACATCGTGATGATAATAAGGGATAGAAAAATTTAGGACATATGTAATAAAAGATATATGCATACGTGTTTAAAGCTTATCACTATATCAACCAACAACACGACTACAAAACAAGACCAGAACATCATTGACCATGACTTTTTAAGTGCCTACGCTTGTCGATTTCTGCACGACCGACTTTGACATCAGTAGAACACTAGTTGCCACATGTGATTTTTCAATAAAAACAACGCTAATTAATAATTATGGTTGAACATAGCTGTAAAGATGCTCGAATAATGACGTGGCTTATACTTACCTGAGAAAATCCATTACTCACGATAAAATAAAAACGCCGACGTTACGAAAACAACATGAAACTAACCCTTTTTTTCCAAACAAACAACTATACCCTTTCATCTAAGTAAACAACTATAAAGAAAAAAAAACTACTAGGAGCCACTCAAACCCAGCTTAAAAGTTTTTACATAACAAGAACAATTGAAACTCCAGCACCTAAAAACCCAAAAACGGAAGAAGGAAACCAGAAAAACCCTAAACTCCAATGACACTAGAGACCAAAAACCACAAAACCCACACCAGAGATGACCCAAATAACCACACAACATATTTTGCACTCTGCCCCCTGGATTTCTTCCATAATTCCAGGGTAGCCCCTCCCCAAGTCCCCCCACCCACTGCTATTTCTCCCCCCTGCTTCCCACTCCTCCCCTTTCTTCTTCCTTCTCTTCTCCTCTCTTCTGCCCCCCCCCCCCCCCCCTTCTCTTCCCTTGACGCTATCCTCCATTTCTCCTCCTCACGGGGAATCCGCTCGCGCTTTTGCTCGGCGATTTATTGCTCGCAGTTCTTGCTGGGTGGTGGTGGTGGTTCATCTCGCCGCGGGCGCGCACAAGGTGGGGGCAAAAGCTGTGCTGTTCTTGGGGGGGTGTGGTTCTATGCCTGCTTGCTTGCTCGGGATTGGAGGAGGAGGAGGATTTGAGGGGTGTAGGTGGCGGCATTGCTGAGGCGGAGAGCGGGAGATCCGGCGATGTCGGAGGCGGACCGGATACGGGTGCGCGCGGCGGCGCTGGCGCTGGACGGCGGCGGCGGCGGCGCGGTGCGGGACAAGCCGGACGCGAAGGCGGACGTGTTCGCCGATCTTGGCTCGCCGGTGTCCCCGCTGCGGGCGCGGGCGAGCGTGGCGACGTCGTCGTCGTCGTCGTCCGGGTCGGCTAAGTCGCCGGCGCCGTCGAATGCCGGGGCGCTGGCGCTGGCGGGCGGGAGGAGCCACTCCGGCGAGCTGACGGCGGAGAGCACGCCCCCGCGGCTGCCCGGGCACCGGCGGTGCGGATCTGGCCCGTTGATATTCTCCGGTGGGAGCAGCGGCGGGAGCGGCGGCGGCGGCGGGGACCGCGGGAGCACGGCGAGCTCGCCGATGACTAATGCGCTCCCCGCAGGTAACATCTGCCCGTCCGGGCGCGTCCCCGTCGCGGCGGCCGCGCCGCCCCCGCCGCGCTCCCGCCCGGACGTGCTCGGATCCGGCACCGGCAACTACGGCCACGGGAGCATCATGCGCGGCGGCGGCGGCATGGCCCCCGCGAGGAGCAGCATTGACTCCTCGTCGTTTCTTGGACACGCTCCGAGATCTCCGGCGACCTTCCCGGCGGCGTCGTCGGCGAGCAGCGGGAGCCTCCAGGATGTGACCCGCCTGGGCAACGAGTGGTACAAGAAGGGCAAGCACGCCGAGGCGCTGCGGCACTACGACCGCGCCGTGGCCCTCTGCCCCGAGAGCGCCGCGTGCCGCGGGAACCGCGCCGCCGCGCTCGCCGGCCTCGGCCGCCTCGCCGACGCGCTCCGCGACTGCGAGGAGGCAGTCCGCCTCGATCCGGCCAACGGCCGCGCCCACAGCCGCCTCGCCGGCCTCTGCCTCCGGTGAGCTCTCCTCCTCCTCCCGCATTGCTTCTTTCTTGCTTCCGATTTCCTCCGACTTCTTCGTGCATGGTGCTGTTGCTTTCTTGGATGTGGATGCTAAGCTCTTTTTTCCCGCGAGCGAGAGCAACATAAATCTAGCGTCTTTCCTTTTTCCTTAAGCTAATCTGATTTCGATTTAGGATTGCTGCTGCTTTGTGCGGCATGCTTGATCGTCACTGTTGGTTAATTTCTTTTTTATTTTTTTTACGCTTGATGATAGGATGATTAAGAATTCCATCTTTTTGCTTACGCAACAATTGATTGGTTTGATTTGTGGTTGTCGAAAGCTACAAGCTTGTGTTGGCCATGAAGTAAATGTGCTGTTAAAGTGGTTCCCCATCACACATTGCTGATGAAAGGGGAGCGTTTGCTTAGCTGTATTTTGTAAGCTTTCTTTAGGTGCATTGGATGTAGGCCACACAAAGCTGAAAATTTTGTCCTAGTTTTGTTCTGACTCGCAAGATGTCTGATTTTACAGTTGGAACAACCGGTGTGATGTAATTTTTGCTAGAATTGTAGATTAAACCGATTGGACCTTGCATTGTCTCAGGTTGGGGATGATTAGCAAGGCGAGGAGGCACTTAACGCAGGCTGGGCATCTCCATCAATCTGATCCTTCGGAGTGGGAGAAGCTGCAGGAGGTGGAGATGCATCAGGGAAGAAGCATAGATGCCAGGAAAGTCGGGGATTGGAAGAGCGCGCTGAGGGAAGCTGATGCTGCCATTGCTGCTGGAGCTGACTCCTCTCGGCTGGTAATGTCAAGCATAAGGTTGCAAGGAATTGTTGGTTTGTAGCAATTCACACTGAGTTTGCTCTTCTGTGCAGCTTCTTGCGATAAGGTCAGAAGCACTTCTCCGTCTCCACAAGTTGGAGGAGGCTGACTCGACTCTTGCAAGTTTGCTGAAATTGGACAGCGTGTTGCTGTATCGGATGGGAGCCAACCCGTCAGGCATGCTAGCTGAGTCATATGTCTCTATTGTCCGAGCCCAAGTCGACATGGCATTGGGAAGGTGTGATTCTCTAACCCTAGAATAATGCTCAATTTTCCACATTGCGGTTAAAATAGATTAGCATGAATTTGTTATTCTGTATTCTACAGGTTTGATGCTGCTGTGGAGGCAGCTGATAATGCTAGATTTATTGATCCTGGAAATGCGGAAGTTGGAATGATTCTAAATAATGTCAAATTAGTTGCAAAGGCTCGAGCCCAAGGAAATGAGCTCTATAAAGCTGCCAAGTTTTCTGATGCATCTATAGCATATAGTGAAGGGCTCAAATATGAGCCCTCAAATCCAGTGCTCTATTGCAATCGAGCAGCATGCTGGGGGAAGCTAGAGCGGTGGGAAAAGGCTGTTGATGACTGTAACGAAGCATTAAGAATACAACCTAATTACACAAAGGCGCTTTTAAGGCGAGCTTCATCCTATGCCAAGGTAAGCAGCAATCATATGCATTAAATGTTTATTTTTGATAGTGGAATTGAGTAATTGGATATTGTTTCCACTCTATGTACATTATGTTGACCTTGTTAACTATTATTTAGCTCGAGCGTTGGGCTGATTGTGTGCGGGACTATGAGGTGCTTCATAAAGAGCTTCCTGCTGATACAGAGGTTGCAGAAGCACTGTTCCATGCTCAAGTTGCATTGAAGACAACTCGTGGTGAGGATGTATCGAATATGAAATTTGGAGGAGAGGTTGAGATGGTAACCAGTGTAGAACAACTCCGTGCTGCCATAGGATCACCAGGTGTGTTATTCTCTACTAGTTCTTTTTTTTCCCTTGATCTCATACCCTGAAATTAACTCATTGGTGCTGCTCTGGTAGCATCCTGAACAATCCGAAATACTGCCTTCTTTATATTCTTGAAACATGTGTTTTACTAGGTTTATCATACCAGACTTGCCTATTTTGCAATTGACTGACTATTGAACAATTTGCTATATCTTCAGGGGTGTCTGTTGTTTACTTCATGTCAATCATGAATCAGCAGTGCACACTAATTACACCTTCGGTGAACTCCCTTTGCAGCGAATGCCCCTCGCTGAATTTCCTAAAGGTGAGACACTTGACATGTCTCCAATCAAATACATCCAACAAGTGCTTATAAATGACACTAACAAATCTGCATTGTGTGTGCAAAACAACAGGTAAATGTTGAAGATAGCCCTATGGTCGCGAAGGCGGAGAACGTGCGGATAGTCCCAACATTCAAGATATACAAAGATGGGGTGAAGGTGAAGGAAATGATCTGCCCAAGCTTGCATGTTCTGCGCTACTCAGTAAGGCACTATGCCGTATCTAGTTCTTGAGAAGCAGCTGGTACCGAAAACCCCGATTTCCCGATTTCATTGATGCATAGTGCTCCCCTTTCCCCCCTATAGCCTTTTACTGTCAAAACTTGAGATGATGTTGTCAGCCTCCACCAGTCCCACCTCATTTCATCAGCTGCACAATAATTTCCCTGACGAGCATGAGCATAATGAGCTAAAATTGGTATATGTGGAAGAGCCTCCCCAATTTTCCCCCCTTGCCCCCCATTCCATTCCCCATCTGTTGTTACTCCTTTTTTACCGTTCATATGCCGACCCCATTCAATTCTTTCACCTTCTGGGCTCTTTCACCTCTTGTATTTGATACATTTTGCTTTACCTTATAGTCCAATAGAACCAGCCAACCCTCCTTCTCAAGAAGGGCAAGTTTGTAATGTTGTTTAGATTAGTAGCATATTATCATAGAGGAGAGGAGGGAGGGGGAGAGGGAGTTAGAGAGGGATGATGGTTGAGATTTTCATTACATGTAAATACCATATAGCAAAAACATCAGAAATCCAATTGAAGGATTGCTTCCCTGGAGAAATGGTGGTATCAAAAAAATTTTGGAGGTTGGAGGAGGTTAGTACAGGAGAGGCTAGCTGTCATTTTAGCGAATCAAGAGAGCTTGTTAATTGGTGCAGGATGGGTTTAGGGGTTGGTGTTAAAAGAAAGATTGGTGTCATTTTGCTGCTTCTGCTGCTGGTTTGTGGTGCTGATACATAATGCTACCATTTCCATGAATAAAACAATCCAACATTCTTTTTATCTTCCTCTTTTGGAATTTTTTGCCTTGCTCTCCTTTGTGGTTGTGATGATGATGATAATGATGATGGTGATGCCAATCTCTGCACCTGGGGTGAGCATTAGTAGCACAGCTGCTGATTGTGTTGTGTTATCAGTTATAACCAGCATCTGTTTTTTTTTCATTTTTGGAACTAGATTTGGTTCTGGGAGTGTGGTGGTAGCTGGGAGTGACACTTGTCTGTCACATCTCCCAATGTGCTTGGGAGTGAGAGAAACAAGACCTTTTCCTCTTTGTGCCTCCTCTCTCTCTCTCTCTCATCCTCTCTCAAGATTCTTTTTCCTTATTTATGGCTATTTTTCTCTCTTTTGTGGTGGTCAGATCTGTGGGGTGGGGCCCCAGCTGGTAATGATTTGGGCCCCAGGGCCAAGTCCCTCCTAGCCTGGCAGAGAGCTGGCCCCTCTTTTGAATGGGGTTGTTGGCTCATTCATTGCCTTGAAAATACTCCTACTACTACTACCACCTCTCCTACCATTACATTTACCTCCTCTCTCTCTCTCTCTCTATCTAGTACTCCCTCAGTCTCAAAAAAAAAACTAAAAAAAAAGACAAACCCTGGTTTTCATGCCTAATGTTTGGCCGTCCGTTTTATTTAAAAATTATGAAAAAAATAAAAAGACAAGTCACGCATAAAATATTAATCATGTTTTGTCATCTAACAACAATAAAAATACAAATTATAAAAAAATTTCATATAAAATGGATAGTTAAAGTTGGACATGGAAACTCAGGGTTTGTGTTTTTTTTGGACGGAGGAAGTAGATCTTAGTACTAGCAAGGCTAGCCCCTACACAACAGTACTTAAGCCCTCTTGATAACCATTTAAAGGGCTTTTAGCATTCTGTTTAGCTCTACTGGAGTACATGGGTTCTGATGATGGCATGTGAATATGATAGCCAGAAAAGTCAAAAGAAGGCCCCTGTCCTGCCTGCTCTGATTCTGGGGCTATGTAGGAGTATAGTACACTTGTGGAAGGAAGGAAGAGAAATAAACAACGGTAGGAGGCTAGGGGACGGGTCCACATGCAAATACTAGACAAACGGAGGGGGTATACGGTAAGTATGTCGGTGAAGGAGTACTTGGCATTTTGGCTGGAAACAGTGTACACCCTCCGTAAAAATTCAATTCCATGTTCAGGTTTGTAACTACTGCCTCCGTCCTAAAATATAAGCACTTTTGGATCTCGACATGATATTTAATATGCTACTTTGACCAACGATATCTATAAAAATAAAATGTTTTAAATAAAAAGAGCTGCATATTGTGATAGTTTGTTTAATGATAAATTTAGTAATATCAATTTTACATGATTAATCTTTTTTATTATTTTGCTATTAATAGTCAAAGTTAGAAATATTTAATTTGGCACTATGCTAAAAATGATTATATTTTAGGACGGGGATAGTAGAAATTAATTTTTTTTGGAGGGAATATGTGGCTATTACTCCTATTTGCAGCTCCGTGAAATATTTCCATCATTTTGAATCTTGGCCTTCTTTGAAACGTAGGAATTTCACATTAATTTTGGAGAAATCGAATTGTTCCATGTGAAAATCATGTAAAATTTCTATATTTCAAAGGAGTCTTGGGTATGACACATTATCTCACAATGGTTTTAGTGGAACAATAGGCAATCTCAAACTAGAATGTCACAAATTTCATCTGAAATGCGCTTGCAAGCAGGGGCGGATCCGACATAGGGGCGGTGGGGTCTCGAGCCAACTTTGGGAGCCCCACAAAAACCCCGCTAAAATTTTCTGCTATTTGTAGATGGGAGGGGGGGCTGTAAGCTTTATCAAGTTTATTCAGACCCCCCTACTATCTCTTCCTAGATCCGCCACTGCTTGTAAGAAAATTCTTTTGGTTGAAAAGTATCAAAGAAAAATCTCAAGTTGAGATTTTTTTTTTCATTTCAGTATATATAATCCACAAATTACAAATCGAACAAAGTTTTTACACGAACCATACTCAGCATCTCCTCGGCAACAACAATATTTTGCCGTGTTGTGGCTTGTGAGGCATTGACTCCGTTGCTTACTCGCTAATCTCTATGAAATATTATCTCTATTCTAAAATATAATAACTTAGAATCGGATTAGATATATCCGTCTAACCAACTTCGTAGTGATATATCCTAGTTCTAGTTCTAAGTTATATTTTAGGATGGATGAATAAGTAGAGGATGCAACATAGAGGAGAGGGCCGCTTGACCGTTGGTGTACTAGTCGCCGTAATGTACTTACCAGCGGCTAATCGTGCGTTGCTTTTTGACCAGGGTCATCCATCTCTTCTGCTGCGTGCATCATCGTCTTGTCGAGCCAGATGCACAGGCGGTGAATGGAACGTGAAGAAGGCCAACGTTTGCACTGGCATCACACAGAAAAATATAGAGCGAAAAATATAGTCCCACCACCCACAAATATAAACATTTGTTATTAAGAATGGGAAGTAAAGATTTTAACATCCTTGATCTCTATTATCTTAAAAGCAGAGTTATCCTCATTTCATCTTATTTTCCCACTGCACGCAACGCGTTTGTATGTGAAAAGTAACCACCAGATCCAATGTTTTATTCTCAATCATTCTCCCAACCGATCTTTAATTATATAAGCATGACCCATTACAATGTAGGAGTATGTTACTAGTTAATCAAGAAACAAATAAGAGTGGAATAGTTAATCAAGAAACAGATGGGAGCAGAAGGGTAGTGGAGGTGATTGATGGCAAAGGCAACCATCTATAATGCCTATATTTATTTACAAAATTTAAACATTTGGAATGCTAATATTTATGAACAGAGTGAGTATCGTTTGCTGATCAGTTTTGACAGCATTATACATATTACCATATCATATGATATGGTACTCCCCTTGTCTATAAATATAAGCATTCCATGTATTCCTATCTTCCTCAACCACTCTTCTACACCCATATACTCCTCTTTTAACGAGAAGAACCAAAATATTTTCTCCAAATGTGCGAGATGGAAAAACAAACGAACTTACCGATCAAGAGCTCATCTACTAACCTGAATTAATTCATCTATCATCCTCGTTTAGTCAAAATGACAGAATTAATTGGAATTGGAAAAGAAGTTCAAGTAGCTATCTTATTCTTGTGTTGAGTTGGAAGTTAGAACTGCTACAATTGACGCTATCTTGATATTTTGTTGTGATTTGTTTTTTTCCCGTAAAACAGAAGATTGAACCAAATCAACCACGATCAAATTATTCTGTCGAATTTTCTCAAAAACAAGGCCGAACCAATTTTTGGCCAGATTGAAAAATGCATATCGTTAGAAAAGCTTATACTTCAATTGTGAATGGAGAGAGTACTCCATTATATACCGAATGCATATGACGAGTCTCGTAATTTAAAAGAGGCATTGTTGGTTAGAGAGCAATTGCATTGATATTTTCGTCACGAACACCATCATTCCCATCTTATAGTTCGGTTGGCTGACTAAGTCAAACATTGCATAAATGTCATTGTTGATGCTAATGATGTGTCTGACATGGCAATGGCATCAACCACAATACATAATGCCAACAAAATAAATCAACCCTCCTTGATGATGGGCCTGATACCAGATATAGGTGGTTGATCCCTTTGCTTCTCTCTGCACATAGCATTGTAATTTGGCGGTGGCAGATTTACAAACTGTTTAGAGGCTAAATGAAACCAACGTGCTTTGCTGAAGAATATATTATATGCACACAATATTTCCGTGTACATAGCGTGCCAACAACTAATAAATTTTACCAAAAATTCTGGAACAAATTGTACATGTACTTCCAATAATATTACACTTATGTGTAATGTCTTAATCTCAAATTCATTATACTTCAGCCTAAAAAAGATAAAAATTCTAACAATTTTAAGGTTATAAATATGTTAGAATTTGCTTCTCTCTCTCTATATATATATATATATATATGTGTGTGTGTGTGTGTGTGATGAATTCAAGGATGGGACTTTATGAGATATAGTACTAACAAAAGTACACGTATAATCTTTTTTCAAAATTTTTGGTAAAATTTGTTAGCTGGTGTGTACGGTATGTATACAAGAAAGCTTGTGTATATAGGATAAGTTCCCGCTTACAGTTTGCTAACAACATCTTTAAACACCAACATTGTGGCATGTTCATCAGGGTGGTCACTAGTCAGGCCCTAGGTCTACTATATATATATTTTTAAAACCATTTAAACACTTTGTTATATAATTAAGACATAGTTCAGGGAAAAATCACCAGTACATCGTCAGGATGATATATAGGGTCCGTTTGGCACAGCTCCAGCTCCACCTCGACCTCTCCTGGAGCTAGAGCTCAGCCAAACAGTTTCAGTTCCACCTAAAATAGCAGCGGAGCTGGATGGAGCTCTCTCACAAAATGAACAGAGATGTGGAGCTAGATTTAGGTAGCTCCACAACTCCACTCTAGATCCAACTCCTGTAACTAAATTTAGAAGTTAGAACTCTACCAAATAGGCTCATATATAGAACAAAAGCATAGAGCCACTCTTTGTTTCTAAACTTCCATATAGCATAAAACACATGAGTTCTTTTTTTTTTAAAAAAAAAGAGAGCATACAGCCATCCTTTTCAAAAGGAATGTGAACTGAACAAAACAAACCAAAGGCAACTATAGATTAGGGATGCAATATAGTGTAAAGCACGTGAACAAATAGCATAGCCACTAGTAAACCTATATAGCAAGCTAAAGACAACTATAGGGAGATCTTTCTCGCCAAGACTAAGAAAAAACAAATCATATAAAAAATAGTCTTTTTCAAGATAAAATGAAGCACAACACACTACGACTTTACAACACCCGTGAACTTTTATAGGGAAAGATGGACAAACATTTAATATTTTTTTAAAAAATGCTAAGTTCAATCTCTATGGTGATAACACGAAAATTTTGTAAGTCGTCCACTAGCAAGCCCGAGAGGTTGCTACATGGTGGATACACAGATTATGGTTATTGTACAGAATTCTTAGCGGAGAAACTTAATACCATGATAACGATGGACGCGTGAATTTCTAAAGCCCGAGTGAATAACATGTGTAAATCACATCAAAGGCCCACGCTAGCATTGTGGCTATTTACAACTAATACCTCCTTCCAAAATAAGACCATCATTGTTTTTCCTTATTTGTCTTATTTGTTTCAAAATAGCTACATTTTCATCTTCTGCTTTATTAAATCATAATACACCTGTTTTCCACTCTATCTAGTTTCGATCTATGGCTCATCATCGGTGAGCCTTGGATCGATCGTACGCGCATCCATGGCTCAAAAGGTCACTGTCCAAAAACGCTCGATCCATCCATGACCGTTTCCATCGTCATCATCTTCGCCATCGCTCGTCCATAAAGCGAGAACAGAAAGGACGCCCTCTTTAATAACTGCCACACAGTGCCGGTGACGTCACATCCAGTTCAGTAGCCAGCACAGCACAGGGGGTGATCGCCAGATGCAGCCGCCGACCGGGCCGGCCACGCGGCGCAACCAACGGGCAGGCAGCCAGGCAAACGAACGGCGTCGCCGCCGCCGGCTGCCCGGCGAGGCGACCAGGCGATTGCAAGGCTGCCACGCGTTATAGGCTCTCGGCCCGACGCCGTGGGATGTAAAGGCGCCACTTGGGGTGCAAGGCGAAGCCGGTGCCCGTACGCGTGTACCGGCTGCGCCTGCACCGCACGCCGTGTGCCCGCACCGAGAAAATGGCCGCAGCCTTAGCCTTCGAAGGTGACTCGAGCTCGGACAATGGCCGTCGACGGTAAAGAAAGCTTTAGAGAGAGTAAAGTATGTCTAGGAGTTATCGCATCAGATTTGTGTCGAGTTTGAGAATAGAGAAAAAAAAGGGAGATGCGTATTAGACCCTGTGTATAGATGGGAGTTAAACTTATCAGTCCCTATCACATCAGATGTTTGGATATTAATTATAAATATTAAATATAGATTATTAATAAAACTCATTCTATAACCCTGGACTAATTCGTGAGATGAATTTAATGAGCCTAATTAATCCATAATTAGCCTATGTGATGCTACATTAGACATGCGCTAATTATAGATTAATTAAGCTTAAAAAATTTGTCACGCGAATTAGTTCTCATTTATGTAATTAGTTTTATAAGTAGTCTATGTTTAATACTCCAAATTCATCCGATATGATAGGGGTTAAAGTTTAGTCCTAGATCCAAACACCACCTTAGTCTTACATATTTATAACCAGCTAAAGTAAAAACTCTAACAAGCTTTATGAGAAAAAAAATATTAAATCTATAGATAACTATTATATAGGTGAGCGACCAGATTTTTCTTTTAACCTATAAGCTACTAGATTATGGTTGTAGATGATGTGCTAAATTTTATAACTAGAAATCGACTATCCTATTAAATTTGCTCTTGGGAGCAGTGAAAGAATGAAGACGTCCACATGAACGCATAGTAGGTCTAATTTGGAACGAACAATTAAAAAAGAAACCACATAGATTCATTCTATTTTCATAGGAATAAAAAAATTGTTGTTCAATGATACTAGTGCATTTACCAATAATCTACTGCCAACTTCCTTTTCTTCTTTGTTCTACATATTCTCCACGGTCTCCAACGTCACCTTGAAAATTACTATACCTCTAAAAGAATAACGTTTTGACAATGCACGTGTTTTACCATTACTTTCTCAATAATATATATTTATAGAAATATAATATGAAAGAGTTGTTCATAACAAATCTACTAATTAAATACTCACATTTTAAATCCTTTTTTCCCGACTATTAATGATTTAAGATTCAAGGTTTGGTTGCACACATTCAAAGAGTATATATTTTAGTATCCTTTTTGACAACAGAGGTAGTATATATTTTAGTTAGATATGCTCAACAAAGTCAATAAAAAAATACTATAGCATATGATGTCACCTGCACATGAACGCCCAAACCGAAAGGTGCATATACTCAAAATGCATCAGCTAAAACCACTAAATAACAGGGAATACATCAGATGCCACAGAGATCTACAAAGACGACATACCTACCCAAGTAGTGCGGTTTCATGTTTAATTCATATGCGAGGAATGAATAAGGCATGGATTTAATTCGGCCTTGCGTCAATATATTTGTCTCTCTTCTCAGCTCCCTGAATTCGACACCTTGGCGATAGCCTCCTGAGGGGGTGGGTGGTCGAACTTGCACTGCATACCAAACTTGCACACGCCAGTCTTCATGTAGAAGGCACATACCACGGCATCCTGCATATCAGCATATGCATTAGTTTAGGCATCAAAACAAATGCTATCCAGGAGGATATTCATACATGACTACATTCCGAGAATGCATCTATGTAGCTAGATGAAAGGGTGAACAAGTGATAACACCTCTTCTTATATGATGATGAAAAAAGCAATCCAGGGAACATCATCAAGATCGTTACAATATGCAGGGTGACGGTTACGATATGCAGCTTACTATATCATCAAGATCAATGCTAACGGGAGAACATATGTAAAAATTGAAAGGACTGCAGCCCAAAAATAGTAAGATCATTGGAACGAGCGGAGTAGCCAAGGTATTACCGACAAGCTTTGAAATGTTACCTCTCTTCTTGGTAGGCCAGCAAGAGTAAGCTGCACAGACTCCTCAGCAGGCTCCCAGTTTGCAGAGGGATCGGGAGCAGAACGATCAATTGGGTGGTGAAACTTGCATCGGTCAGCAAACTTGCAAAATCCTGTCTTCATGTAGAACTGCATTAAGAAAAGAGCATAACGCTGTAGAGGCACACCCAGACTATATGCGTAAAGTAGTTGATATCAATCAGCTAGTTAATAATTCATAGCGAAGAGACTGTCATACATCACAAACAGTTGCTCCAGGCCTCTGGGGATAGGTGACTGGCCCAGGTCCAACCTGCATTTTACAAAAGAGCATATCAACTTGTGTATCTCACAGCACCTATTTCCAACTTTAATTTCCTTTGTTTACTCTTACAGGCATGTGTGCCGCATGAAAATCAAAGCCTTGCATGAAGTTTGCAGATGAATTTAGCAGCATGGATTCCGGAGTAGGGAGAATGGTTTGACCCAGTGGAAGTGGAAAATTTAAAACTGCATTGAGCACCAAATTACCATAAGAATACATGTCGAGTCATAAGATTCAATTCATGTAAGAATCATGAACACTATCAGACTTGTTTAATTTAGATGCAATAACAGATATGGCAGAAGAGTGCGGCTATCAGATTGAAGGTGTTAAGTTCAAGGCATGGACAGTTTTGAACGTTGAATACAATACAAGCTTGTTTGGTTCATATGGCAAGTTCTCTGCTTGTTTTGGCTTTAAAGGTACAGTAGAAAGGACACGGTCTTAAAAATAATGTGTCCAAAAAGAAGAAAAGAAAAAGTTAGTAAAACCTGGTTAGTATTTGTCTAATGTCTTCAGTATTCCAGTCAACCGTGCTGCAACTCATAACAAGATCTGATCATTTATTCATTTCATAATATTTACATCAGATATAAGTAGCTTTACATTGCCCCATACTTGAATTAATGAATTTTAAGAACCTTGAAGGTACCTAGAGAATGAATTCATTCCTTCTCTTATTCTTTAATGCATTGTATTCCTTCTGCCTCGCAGTATAAGAAACCATGCAGCGGCATAAGAAAAGGTTAATGGCAACAGATACCAATTTCTATTGTACTGCCACATGGACTTGGGATGAATAAGCTGAGGTTTGGTGGATAATAACAGATTAGAAGGAAGACAGGAGTCTGGATGGATCAGATAAAACAGGGAGAAATAGAAGTAGAGGTAAATAAACTTGTTTATTCCTTGCTGCCAACTAAGGGTTGTAGAGATCCTTTTTCATAGCCACATAAACAGATAAGTTCAGCCAATGCATCAGCTCACAAACTATATCTCCAACAGATAAGCCTAACAACGTATCTGAGAACTAACAAACTAATTGTTGAGAAACAGATAAAAATACACAACCACCACCACTCAAGCTCTTTTACAGCAGAGAAGTAGGGGGTGCAACCGAGTGGAAACTATGCCACAAGTACACCCTTGATTTCTGCAAAATATTATGAAAAAAATGATCCTAAAGAAAATGCACTAATATTATGAAAAAGAGGAGTACAAGGCTATTACGTAAGTGCTCTATCCAACCAGGGCAAATTGCAAGTTAAATTATGCTATTAAATAGACGAGCAGCTAGATGATGGTTGCCACGCTCCTTCTGAGAAGTGGAAGAAGGCCAAAAGGATCTTAACTACCTCAAATTCATGTCATGATAAATTTAACTTTGTGAATATGGTTAGTTGTGACCATGAGTGACAAACCTAGACGATCAGGATGGTTGAATCGACAAGTAGAACCGAACTTGCAACTGTAGAGGGACAAAAGGAAATGTGAGATTCCAAGTATCTCCAAACTCATGCAGAAGTGCCAAAGCCAACAGAAAATAGTGTTATTCTGCTTAAGGGGATACCTGCCCATCTTCATGTAAAAAGGACAATCAACTTCACCCTGCCATGAAGGAGAAGAGAAGGTATTAAACAAAACAAGCAAAAGGTATTTCACCTAGAATCATGTAAATAGACAAAAAGATTTCACTATATACACCAGTATATTGATAAAAAATTCAGTCTTATCAATACCCCAAAAAACAGAACTTGTTGAGAGAGGAATTATGTACCAAAACCATGTACCAGGAATTGAGTACAAAATACAGATGTGCGGAATCTAAGCATAGAGCATCCTCAACATCGTTATCTTGCATTACATAATTCACAGGTCTTCTCAAAATGGTTTACGAATGAAACAAAGTTATCAGGCACTTGATAAGGACATACTGGTCTCATAGGCAGCCCTTTAGAGTTAAACTCTTGCGCAGCAGCAACTGGAGTTTGCATCTTCGCTGAAACTGAATCAGCTGCTGAACCAATATCCGTTTCTCCTTCAACAGTCACTGCACTTTCGGGTTCATTTTGACTTGAAGGTATTTCAATATCCTTGGGATGATTGAACTTACACATTGCACGAAATTTGCATTTGCCTGTTTTTGCATAAAACTGAGGTACAAAAGCACAACTGAAAATCGGTTTTTAAGCTTGATGCCATACAAAAAGGAAAAGAAGGTGCAGTAGCTTCTTACAGAACAAAGTGGCTCAGAAGGCCTCACTGGTAAGATAGAACTATCAGCAATTAGATGCTTCTGCAATTTCATAAAAGAGCATACAGGTTGAGACCTGAGCGGTTGAGATGATGACATGTTAGTAGTCTAGTAAGTAAATGGAAACAACTTACATCATTGGTATTTCCAGACGCTAATGCATTAACCTTTTCCTTTGGATGATTGAACTTGCATTTCGATCCAAACTTGCATTTACCAGTCTTCATAAAAAACTGCATCATCAAGAACAACATTATGAGCATATTTGTCATATTGATTCAAAAATAGGGCTATGAACTGCTTACAGGACAATCTGGTTCCCCTTCTTGTTCTGGATAGGATTCTTCAACATTTGCAGCCTGCTAAGAAGTTTTAAGAAAGCAAACCAGAAGGGATGAATTTGGAGGATAAAAAGACACAATTACAACCACAAACATCACAATAAATATTTCGGAAACCTTAAAAACACCAAATTGCATAAGGTAATTAACCAGAGCCAGAGCATTTTATTAAAAGTGGTCTAGAAAAAATATATCTACTGAAAACTGTAGTCGTGTCTTTTTTATAACTATATACCCAACCCCCCAAAACACTCAATTCCGATGTTTATTGGCAGTTGAAGACTTGATGTACAGATGGGCATTCATCAAAAGATTAAAAGCCAACTACTATTAAACCTATGACTGTGAAGAGAAATGTTTAAAGGCAAGTGTGCAAATGTTTGCTGATTGGTCTACAAGAAAACAAGTTCCTCTAAGACACTGCAATGCCAGTACACCCTGAGTCCCACACCAGCAATACATTTGTCAGATGAGTCACAGCATGCTTCATTGCTTCAGCCAGATCAAACTATATATTCTCCATAAAAGGAAAACTAAGCAGATGTATGCAGTTGCAACTGCAAAGAAATTATATGTCATAGAGTAACCAAACAGTGCTTAACACTGACATATGCATGAACAAGAGCCACCCCTAAGCTCAAATATATAAGCCACATGATCAACAAAGAATATCAATTCCATGTCTTTATTGTGAAATTCACACTTGGGATAGTCCTACTCACAAATCTTGGCTGGACTCCTAGTGCTGTAAGGTACCAAAAAACATGGTGTTGACACGAATTGCCAATATAGCCCTTATACAAGATCAGCGTGTTATCCAATGCTTCAAACAGCAGATGCTAAAGCAATGCAGCAACAGGAGCAGACAAATATATGCCACAAATGTTTAGTTCACACAATAATTTTTTTTGTCCAAAATATCCGGTTTCCTGTCACAACTGTTTTTCACTTAAATACTGTCAATCCAATTAATGAAAGCTTTGATTCCTAAATTCTTTCTTCTAAGGTTCAAAGAAACACACATAATTAACACCACCTGCACTCTTAGATTCTTTCTTTCCTTTTTGCTACTAGCGATGCTAACAGTAATACACTTTTGGTTTTCAAAGTAACATATACACCTTAAAAATAGTATTATAATATACATTACTATAAAATATAGACCTCTATAAATAATAACATTGACAGGTGATCACCTCTTTCCAATTTGGAATCCCACCCTCTGGAACCCATTGTGGATGGTCAAATTTGCAGGAACCTCCGAATTTACAGGTTCGGGTCATCATATAGAAGGCACAGTCCTTTTCCCCCGGTCGCTGTGGATATATAGGAAGGCTGCTTTCAAGCCTAGGGCGCTTGGTCATAGTATTTGAAGAATACAAAGCCTCAATCTGTTCAACAGTACTATGGCTTCCCATAATTGGCTGATGATAGAGAACTATAGTAGATATACAAAAGAACTTTATAAGCTACATGTATTAGACAAGAACAAAAGCAAGGATAATAGTAATAGTGAATAGGTAGTAATAATAGTAATAGTAGTATAGAGAAAAGGATCAAGGATGACAACTGATTACTGCACTAGTGCACTACATAAGAAAACAAGACAAGTCCAGTTAACCAAGGATTGAGAAACTATCATGATGGTAAAATGACAAACTGCACAAAGCTCTCACTGCTAGAAGCACACCAAGTCCAAAGGACTACCAAGTAACTTCCTCCAAGTTGGACGAGCAACAGAAGCATGTCAATGAAAACAACTAAGCTCAACCTACTCAAAGAAGATCTATCAGAAGCTTCTCCGACTGAGAAGCTAGTGAAGAAGATCAGTGGTGGAGCCAAAGCTCTAACTTTGTGGTGTCAGATGCATGAAATGTGGGACCAATTCCCATAGATTTAATAATGTTCTGTAGGCATATCCACTAATCCATACATGCTTTTGCTGTATGTTGCAAAAAACTGTAGGGGCATTTCATTTCAGTCGACCACACAACTTTAACATGGCTCCCGCAATGGAGAGGATAGGTTAGTGATCCTGAAACGCTTCCATCACACAGGAACAAAACAGTTCAACCTTACTTGCCTCAGCCTCAGCCATTTTTAATAATTTAAAACCGACCGACCACGAGACAGGCATGGGGATTGGTTAGTGCTAAATTATGCTATGATTTCCACGTAGCCATTCTCCGCTACATTCCAATTGAAATTAAATATCCAAATGGAGCGCATCTTGCGGTAAAACGAAGTAAATCGTACGTGTTGGGATATAATACAAGGTAACAGAACCCAGCCACAATTCTCTCTACCAACAAAATGAAATGATCTGCACTAAATGCTGCAAAGAATCCCCCCTCCTCCTCTTTCTTGTCAGCCTAACACCGACAACAAGCCGCCATAGCAAACGTAATCAACTCTCGAAATAACAGAACACGCTTTATCAACCAATCCGTGCACCTAAACGATTCTCGAATCAGTGAGCATCATCCAAAGGGAACCACACCCGTCAACGGACACAAGGGCAGATGATGAAGGGGAGCTGGCTCTCACCTCCCATGGATCGCCTCGCGCCGGCCAGCCGCGCGTCGAGGTCGGCGGCGGCCGAGGAAGGGTTGGCGAGCGGGCGGCCGCCGTAGCGGGCCGCGATGAGGTCGACCTCGTAGGACGAGTACCCCGCCGCGGCCGCGCCCTCGCCGCCCGCGGCGCCGCCGTGGCCGTGCGGGTAGAAGGGGTCCGACATCGACGCTCCCCCCGAAGCCGCCGACGCGGCTAGGGTTTTCGCGGACGGTGGTTGCCGGCTTGCGCTCGCGGTGCGTGCGTGTGTGTGTGAGAGAGAGAGAGCAAGTGGATTCGCACGCCACTTCAGTGTCACGCCTAGTTGTCCGCACGCCGCTCTCTTTCATGAGATCTCTCCTCTCTCTTTTTTTTTCATTCTAGGTTTGCACTTTACTTTCTTATACGATGCACATGCTTTTGGTCCTCGGTTAAACTAATTTATGTTCAATTTATTATGGTGAGATGTAAACAATAGTACTCTAATATATTCTTTCTATCCCAAAATATAGGGCGTACCTGCCCTGGACGCGAAGACCAAGAATGTGTACATGTCTTGCTTGTCCCAACGCGCAACGCTTCGATTCACGCGCACCCTCGACCTTCACAGCGAGTAGCCCGTCCCACGCTTTATTTTCGCGCGCGTATCCCATATCCCACGTCCTATTTTCGCGCGTTTGTGAGACTTCTCGATCGCTCATGCTTGTCCACGCGCGCGCGTTAATCCCCGGCCATGCCCGCTGACTATGAAAATTTGGAAAGCATCAACTAAAATTAGTGCCATGCATGTCAGTTTGATCAGAGATTTGGAAGGCGCCATCAACAGGCGAGATCCATCTACGCCTATTGCCGCATGTCGACGGCGTCGTCACAGAGCACTTGGGCACGGCTGAGCTCTACTTATACTTGCCGCCACATGCGGACGGCGTGGACACAGAGAGAGCACGCGCGGTCGAACTCCATCTATGCCTACTGCCGCATACATATAGTGCTTGCGACCATCGACTCGCCAACCTGCCGCCTCGCATGGTTTCGCATCTGGAACTCCTCCCGTGCAGTATGCTCTGTCAACACCATCGTCGGCCACCATGGTAAGAGCAAGCTTTATTATTGAGAAGAAAGGCTCGCGGGTAGTGCTGGGAGAGAGAAGCTTTTTTAACTAACCAAACTCATCAGCATATGTTGCATGTGCTGTAAACGGGAGTTGAGAAGGTAAGTCTTGAATGCTTGCATGCATATGTATTGGAACGAACAAAACTTCAATGCTTGCATGCGTTTAAACGGCTGCCGAGGAGGTGCCGCCTTATATTGTGGGATTTGAGAAAAAATACAGGTGCCCCCTATATTTTGGGATGGAGGGAGTACTATAGTACTAGTGTCTATCTAGTTAGATGATATTCTCAAATACTGGTACATAAAAAATTTTGATCTTGTGCTCTGAGCGATGGCTAATCGATGGCAAGAAGTGGCGACATCATAAGGGTTGGAGGTAAGAAGATGAGCTCGACTCCTCATCACCAGTTTATTGTATAAAGATAGTGACAATGGGCTGAGAATGGTGTGAAGCTAAGCCAAGTTGGTACTCCAAAATCTCCAATTTTATGTTGTTTCATATCTTTCGCATTCTCGTTAAGTATGTGGGTTTAGTGGATGAAAATAAAGACAATTCTATCCTTGTTCAAATGAGCTATGTTCACAAGTTGAGTTTTATTTTGCTAATTTATTCGAGGCTTGATAGGATAAATTAATAAGACTGTAAAATGTTATTTTAATAATTATGACATGCTAAATAAATGTAAGACTTTTCATGCAAATTTTGCGTAGCATCTTATTTGCATAATTGTTGCAATGTGGTTTTTGAATTGTGCCATGTGTTATTGGTCACACTCTGGCTATGACACATTTACAATTTTATCTTGGATCCACCACTCAATCAATATATGGCATATTTTTTCTTAAAAATTACTATGATCTAAAAAAACTACAAGGACTATAGATTCATTTTTCTACACCAATTTAAAATAGAAACATAGCGTGACACAACATAACAAACCAATGCAAAGTTTGATGTAGCCACTTTCCAATTTCTAGCTAAACGTTGAGATATATAACCATTCGTATCCTAGTGGCTCAAATTTTTAGCGAGGAAGCTTGATTAAGAAACTTAATTCCACAAAATATATGTAAAATTGGCCGATTAAATATGAAATTACTATACTACGCTAAGAGTGTGTTATAGCTAAAACGTGACTCAAAGTAGTAAATTTTTAACTATGAGGGCAACCATCGTCAAATACCCCTATTGAGCCTGTTAGTTTTTGAGGACGATATAACTAGACCGTAAAAGTTTTGCTATGAATGCGCATAGTTAATGCACACTCAAGATACTTTTTAGTGCATCCGCTATTAAATAAACACATATTTTAATAACATTGATTTTGTACATAATGCAAGGACAAAAAAGAATATTTGTTCCATTTTATATATTATAACGTTTTGATTTTTCTTTAAAAGTGAAACTTTTTAAAATCTGTCCAAGTTTACAACATTTACAACCCTAAATTATTTTAAGTAAATCTAATACTGAATATATTTTTGCTAACATGTTTGTTTTATATAATAAAAATATTAACATATTTATTCGTAAAATTAATTGTAAATTGTAATATGATAACAAGGCCCAACAAACCGTTTTCCAGGCCCATGATAGCACAGCCTACTCGCCCTGCCGCCGCCCGCTGATCCCCCGACTCCCCCCAAAACCCACGCCGCCGCCGCCGTCTCTTCCCTCCCTTCTCCGCCGCAGCCGCCGTATCCCCCCTCTCTCTCCGGGAGCTGAAAGCGCCCGAGGAGGAGATCAGGTAGCCTGTTTATTCTCACCCCTAGTATCCCGACGCATCTTGTTTTCTTCTTCTTTTTTCGTTACATTTTGTGGTGGGTGTGGACGTTGTCGCAGGTTCTTTGGCCATGGTGGGCTGGCGGGCGGCGGGCGGCGCTCGTGCCGTTCTTCGCCGGCTCAGCGCGGCGGCGGAGGCGGCGGCGAAGCAGGACGGCCGTGTGTTCGCTGCCAGCTATAGCGGCAGCAGTGGCGGCGTGAATGCTCCGTTTGGCTTGGGTGCGTTCCCGTTTGTCTCTAGGTCTTAGCTTTTATTTAGTTTTGAACTTATACATGATCCGAATGCTCATCAGAAGTACAGACTTTAGGTGATTTATAGTTGATGTTGATAAGAATGCTGAATTTTTTAGGATAAATCGCGTTGTTTCTGTTAAACTCTAGTATTAATTTTGGATTCAGTTGTTATTACACCCTTCAGTATGTGTTTTTTATCAGTCGCACTCCGCATTGGTACTTGTAGCTTTGGTACTATCAGTTCTTTTTATAAGCTCTGATATAATTTGAAATGATATGGTGTGCTGTCAAGACTATGTATTTGGGGGGAATGGCTGAATACATAATTTCATTTTGCTTAAAGCTCTTCTCTTTATTTCAGTAATTAGTATAGCGAGAACATTTTGGTCTTGATATTCTCGTTACGTGCTAACAATGACTGCCACCATGTAGGCCAATATGCAAACCTTTTGAGGGCACAAGCTTTTGCATCCAGGGGAGTCGCGCTGAACTTCCATCAGCTGATCCGCAATGCTGTAATGCACTCTTCCCCATGTGGCCATGCTACTTCATCTTCTTTTGCTTTTACATTTCTTATCTCTACAAGTTGATCTCCTGTTAGAACTAAATCAATCCTTTTACAATTGCCTATGTATGACACTGATTGAATTTTGAAGAGCACCTCGATAAGTAGCTGATTTTGTGTCTGTTCCATATTGGAGCCACATGTATATATGATCACATTGCGTTGCTTTGTAATGGAATATATTTTGCTTGTTCCGTGTTTGACAGAAAATTAAATTAACTGAACTTCGGTCACACTCTTATTTACATGGGTATTTGGCTCTTTTTTTTTTCTGTAGGGAATATCTACCACAAGGAACCTGCTTGCTGCAGATGATGCTATGGTTCCTGTTTCTTCTCCTTTGACACCTCCACTTGGTGATGGAGAACAAACTGACAAAAAGGGAGCAATTGTTAAGCGGCTGAAGGTCCAAGCCATCAAGAAGGATATCAAGCAGGTGAAGAACAATGAAATACTAACTATATTTCCCCCTAAAGTGATTACATATGCTGTCACCAGCAGTGAAAGTTTGAACGTGCAGTGTGTCATGCCTTTGCTGCATTAACTCTTTTATGTATCCTCTAACATGTTTAAATGAGACTTTCAATGGTTAGTGGCAAAGCACATTTAAAAGTAACATAATGAAAGCAGCAACATTTCAATGTCTGATGCCCCTTTTTTAGAAGCTGCAGGTATTGTTTAGTATATGTTTTTAGCTTCTCATTCATAACTTAATGTTATATAGTTGGTACAATCGTAGTGTTCACTGAGCTGTTTCCTAGTTATGATCCTGCTTGATTAGAGTAAGCATATGTTCATGTAGGTTATCAATATATCGAGATAGTAGTGTAGCACAGACTTTCTTTATCTTGTTTAGTGCACATATTCTTTTACTACTATCATCAATAGATGCTCATCTCTCTATTTTCCCTTTTTGGCTGTTTTAGAGCCCCAAGAAGGTGAATCTGGTAGCAAAGCTGGTTCGAGGAATGCGTGTGGAAGATGCCCTGTTGCAGTTGCAAGTGACAGTTAAAAGGGCTGCAAAAACTGTATATCAGGTTCTGTAGTTAACAAAATTTTGTCCTGCAACTGCTCCTTGTGGTAGATAGGGTCAGGTGTGACCAATATTTTTCATGATCATTCCTTTCTATCAATCACTGCAGGTGATTCATTCTGCTCGTGCCAATGCAGCTCACAATCACGGACTGGATCCTGATAAACTTATTGTGGGTAAGACCTTAAGACAACATCCATCTCCCCCTTAGTCCCTCCAATAGTCATTCGTAATGGTTTCAATCTCATTCCTTTCTTTCCACTTACCTATCATACCACAGAAGAGGCTTTTGTTGGGAAAGGACTTTACCTGAAGAGGTTGTCCTACCATGCCAAAGGGCGGTGTGGCGTCATGGTGAGACCGAGGTGCAGACTGACAGTAGTGGTTCGAGAGGCTACCGCTGAGGAAGAGGCAAAGATCGCGAAACTCAGAGTCAGCAACTATAAGAAGCTGACCAGAAAGGAGAAGCAGCTAATGCCGCACCGTCTTATCGAGGTTAGCCCGAGGTGGGCTCGCAAGAGGAAAGAGGAGGCTGGTGCTGCTGCGTAGCATGGCTTCCCATTTGCAGGATGTCTGCCTTCATTGGCCTTGAAGCGGTGAGTAGCCGCATATGCTGAAATTTACCCAAGAACAATTGTAGCTCTCTCAAGAATGAATTCAAAGGTCTCATTTGTCAGGCCTGTCTTTGTTCTGTTTGTTTCATCTGTATGAAATTTGTCTCATGAAGCATAGGAAACTGTGGCATTGCCCACGATTCTACTCAGAATGAATAATGTCACCTCTGATATTTTGTTCGGCCTGCCTATTTTTATAGTTGTCTTCGCTGAAGATCCGTATTCAAAGTTAAACTATTGTTATAATCACAAGTCAGATTTGTTAATTCCGTTGATCTCGGTTCATGGAATATGGTGTGCCAGTTTCGGGCTCCTTTGGAAAAGAGGAATTTTCGCGGGAAATTTTGATGAAACAACTAATTCCTATAAAATTCCTTCGTTCCAAGAAAGCCGTTGACCAATTTACATGACATCAAACTACAACAGTTACCGGAAAAGATTCAGTTGAATTTCAGTCCATCGAATCAATTTCACTAGTACGATGACTGACTTTGTTCAAGCAAACGGTCACTTTTGATCCACTGAATTGTATACAAAATTTCCTACACAAATATATAAGAGAAAACCCAAGAAATGTCATTGACAAACGTCCAAGTCCTACAAATGTCATCGAATGAGTGCGAGTTTCATGAAATGACATCGTATAAACGACCTTGTCCCAGAACTATCATCGCCGTTAGGGTCATTTCCATCTTGCGTCGTTAAATGCATTGTTTCTCCTATAACACTTAATGAATGGATGCTAACGGAACCCTAACGGTGATGGTATTTTTGGAACAAATTCACTTATACAATGACATTTCATGAAACTTGTACTTAAATTTCTTAGAATTGTGCGCTTGTCAATAGCATTTCTTGAATTTTCTCAATCTGTAAACGCAAGGCTACAATATTTGGGCCGCAAAATAGACTCCAGGCCTCCAACACGGGCCCGCCTCCTCCCAGGCCTCAAAATTCGCTCAACTCGCAATAAAATTTGCCAAAATTTGGCAAAACCCGGAAGAGTCGCGGTGCCTAAACCCTAGTACCAAACCAGAGGTCGATCCGGTTCCCAGCCATGGCCACCGCCGCCGTCTTCTCCGCCTCGGCCCGCCGCCTCCTCTCCACCGTCGCCGGCGGCGCCGGGGCCGGATCCGCCGCCGAGCTCCCCGTCTTGATTGGCCACCTCCGCAGCCTCGCCCGCGCGGGCCGCCTCGCCGACATCGACGCCGCCCTCGCGCCGCACCTGGCGTCCCACTCCGTCGCGGCGGTCTCCGCCCTCTCCTCGGTGGGCCTCCCCGACCGCGCCTCCGCGCTCCTCGCCACCATCCGGAACCCAACCGCCGCGCACCTCAACGCGCTCCTGGCCCCGCTCCTCCGCCGCCACCGCCTCGTGGGCCTCATCCCCACCCTCCTCGCGGCGCACCCCTCCGTCCCGCGCGACGACGCCACGGAGGGCATCCACGCCAAGGCCCTCTGCATCGCCACCGGCGCCGACTCCGCGCTCCACCTCCTCCAGCGGGAGTCGCCGCCGCCGTCCCTCCAGCTCTTCACCAGCGTCATCGACTCCTACTATAAGCAGCGCAAGCCCCACCGCGCCGAGCAGCTGTGGCGCGAGATGGTCGAGGACCACGGCATCGTCCCCGACGCCGCCGCCCACAACGTCAGGATCACCTACAAGGCCGCCACCGGCACGGTGGAGGAGGTCAAGGAGCTGATCCGCGCCATGCGCGAGGATGCCGGCCTCCAGCCGGACATCGTCTCCCACAACGGGCTGATGCGCGCGATGGCGCGGCACGGGAGGGTGGACGAGATGATGGAGGTGTACAAGAGGCTGGAGAAGGGTAGCGCCTCCGCCGCGGCGGAGGGCAAGTCGGCGCCGGACTGCGCGACGTACACCTGCGTGGTGGCCGCGCTGTGCAAGGCGGGGCGGTGGTCGGAGGCGGACGACGTGTTCTACGAGGCGGTGAAGCGGAGGAAGCTGGCCGACCTCGGGACGGCGCGCGTTCTGGTGCGAGGCCTCAAGGAGGCCGGCAAGGGGCGGGCGGCGAGGCGGGTGGTGATCGGGCTGCGCAAGAAGTTCCCCGACCGCTTCGACGGCCCGTGGAAGGATCTCGAGGAGTTGGCCGGGATCGCCGGCGAGGATGAGGAGAGCGATGTCGAAGGGGAGGACGACGAGCAGCCGCCGGCGACGACGACGACCACTGCCGCGTGAGCTCTCGCAGTAATTTGGTCGTGTTCGTGGTTTTAGCAAATTTGCATTCGTGGTAATACGAAGACCATATAATGGTTTAGGATTTTAGGGCTGGATCAATAAGAAGCAAATTCTGAGGATGCGAGAATCACTCAAATTTTGTCAAACTAGCTTCTTGAATCACACCATAAAACTTCTTTAATGTGATGTCTCGTTGTAATGATTGATCTTGTTTCTACATCTGATGGCTTTGTTTTGTTTCCACTAATTTCACTCACAAATACTTTTGGATGCTGCTGGCTATTTGGTAATTGCCAATTTGATCAAATCATGCAGAAAAAGCTACTCCATCCGCACTAAAATATACATGACCGGATTAGATAGGCTCCCTGTCCACGCTCTAAAATGTACAATCGATTTACGACCGGATTAGATAGGCTCGTTGTCCAGACTATTGTTACTGTCAAATTCGATAGTACTAGGATTCTAGATTACTGCCAAATTCGATACTAGATTGTCATTTACGGCTGGGTTGGAGTATTAGTTCGTTCTTAGGTTAAACACATCTCCCATCCTCGAACTTGGCACGGTAAGTTTAGTTTTGTGCCTACATTAGAGAGGAAGATGGCAAAAGCTTACGCAATCGACGCTTAATTACAAGTTGTTGACGATGTGAGTGATAATGAGTTTTCTGTTAGAGGAAATGCGCCATGTTTCTCACCTTTAAGCGCATGTTAGGATATCTTGCTTTTTAGCATAAGCTGCACATTGTTTTCTGGAAAAAGTACACCGAAGCTCCCTCAACTTGTCATCGAGTTACAAAATCGTCCTCGAACCACAAAACTGGATAAGTAGATCCCTCGGTGGTTTTGACTCCGATTTTATCCGACGTAGCAGCTGACTCAGCGTGGATCCCACGTGCCAGCCTCCTCTTCACTCCTCTCCACCTCTCCCTCTCTCCTCTTCTTTTCTCACCAGCAGAACAGCGACAGCCGGCGGGTGGGGAGGTCCGGGAGGAGGCCGGTGGGGGAGGCGGGAGTCCGGCGGCGGCGGGCCCGCGCGGATGGATTTGGGCGGCTGCATCGGCTTCGCGGGGGGCAGCCTTCATCGCCCTCTTGGCGCGGGCGGGGCGAGGGGGGAACTGCGCGCCTTCTTCTCCCACTTGGCAGACGCCGCCGCCGCCGACGACGCGGCTTCTTAGCGGCGGCGGAGGGGCGCGGGGTCCTCTTCCTCTTGGCGCCGACGACGCCCTTGGCGGCCGGGCTGCGGGCAGCGAAGCAGAGACAGGCGAGCGCGGCGGACGAGTTCGCCGTTCAGTGAGGGAGGCTGCCGAGGAGAAGAAGGCGACGGCGGCCAGGTCCAAGGCCAAGACGGCCGCCAAGGCCAAAGCTGAGCAAAGCTCCGGCCGCGACCGCGAGCAAGATGACCATGGAGCCAAGCCGCTCGCGCCTCCCTCTCCTCCACCACTTCTCGCTGCTCGCCTCGCTGTGTTCCGCGCGGTGGCGAGACGACAGCCGCGGCTTCCTCTGGTACCCCGCCCCGCGCCCCCCTCGGCGTGGCCCGCTTGCTATCGTAGTCTACGCTCATGACGAGACGGCCATGTCGCTGGAGCAGGAGGTAGAGCTTGCAACTTATATGTTTAGTGATGCTGCTTGGAGTTTCCAACTTTCCTGAATTGATGTTGTTATGGTCTGGTTGCAGGATTGGGAGATCAATGGCATAGACAGATCGGGTTTGGATGCTCAGGTTGCTGAGGGTGCTCCTAGCCTGCTGTATTTGTTGTCTTGTGCTATGTTCAGCATACAGTGCTAATCTAGTGCAAATCGCCTCGCCGCGGACGCTCCGCCCTGTGCTGGTGCTCACGCCGGTCACCGCTGACGAGGTGCGCGCCTACGTCGTCTGCTGCCGCGACCACGGCCTCACCGTCCGCGCGCGCAGCGGCGGGCACGACTACGAGGGCCTCTCGTACTGCTCGCTCCGGCCGTCCGGCGACGGCGAGGGGGCAGCACGTTTCGCCGTCGTCGACGTCGCCGCGCTCCAGGCGGTGCGGGTGGACGCGGCGAGGGGAGTGGCGCGCACCAAGGCGGGGGCCACGCGCGCCGTCTGCCGCATCGGCGCCGCTGGACTCCCGCCTCCCCCACCGGTCTCCTCCGGAAGCAGATCTTAGAGGGATGTACTTCGCTTCATCAGCGTCCATTCCGAATCCTACGGCGACGGCGCGATTTCCTTTTTCGTCGTCCTTCGGCCCAGTAGCTGTCCAGCGTTCGGCCCAGTTGTCAGTTGCGGAGGCCGAAGGGGAAAAACAGAGCAGCGAAAATGAACTAGAAAATGAAACAGAGCAGGGAAAATGAAACGCCAGCGACCGCCTCCTTCGTCGACCACCTCTCGCCGCCGCTCGTCGCCTCCTGTCCACCGGCGCTGGCGCGAGTGGAGTAGGTACCCTCAGCCGCGACGCTCTCGCCTACCCTCAGCCCCGCGTCCTCCCCGTGCGGGAACTCTGCTGCCCCTCCATGGATGTCGAGGTCTGCCGTCTCCGTCGACGACGTCGGCCTCAACGCCTCCTGGTTCGAGGCCACCACCATGGGCCACTGCCGCGCCACCGTGGGAGGGAGGGCTGCTGCTGCTGCCAAGCCCACACCACCGCAGGAGGAAGGGCGGCCACCACCACCATGGGCATCTGTAGGAGTGCGACGGCAACACAAGCCACTGTAGCAGCTTGAGAAGCCAAGAGTGAGATTGAGAAATGATATGAATTGATGTTGTAAATTGATTTGAATTCATAATGTGGCTCAAACTGATTGAGAAATTATATGAATTGATATTGGATGTGTTTGTCAATTTGGTATGGCAAAAGAGATTGATTCAGTATAGCAGAAGAATCAAGAATGTCACTTGTGTTGCTGTTGCTGCATTGAACATATGTGATGGCTGAGTTTTTATACATATACAGATTTGGTTCCAGAATGTTTGCTTGCAAAATGGCAAAAGAAGGCTAAACCTGACTGTTGTGCTGTCAATTTGTGAGCAGATCTGAACATGCTTATAAACTAACTTCTCCAGGGCAGACTTTTTTGCTTGCTTGCAAAATGCCAAAAAAAAGAAGAGCACAACTGAACATGCATACAAACTAACTTGTCCAGGACAGACTTGTTTTCTTGCTTGCAAAATGACTAAAAAACATAAGTACTTCACCAGGACACAAGCTCTTCAGTAAAACCATCATCTGTGATTGGTCACTGTAAAAAAAACAAAAATAAGTAAGATTTTTCTAAACATTATCTCCTCTAGATTTGTAAACTAACTTACTGTCAACAGTTGAGTGAAGCTATCAATGGCCTCGTAATCTTCAGGCTCCTTCCATTTATCCATAGGAGCACTATCATCTGCAAGTTGTTCTTCTGCATCACCTACCTCTTCCCTAACCTTTTGTATCTTGCAGACAAAGAAAATTTGAGGGTTTAGAGAAATAATGGACAGAATGATAACACTGGAAACATAATTGTTCTTCAGCAACATACCACTGATTTTTTTTGTTTTGTTTTTTCATTTTTTCCTCTCTTTTTCCTAGTCTTCTGGTTTTTATCGAGCCAACCTCTTGTTCGTTTTGAACTTCTTGTTTTGACCTCCTTTTTCTTTAGACGTGCATTACTCAACAAGTCATTTGGTGGACTAACATCTGTCTAAACTGTACATGGATCCTCAGAAATGCTTGTACATGCACTGATTTTGTCTTCAATTTGCTTACCAAGGATGTCAAGTGCACTGTCTACTAACATGGTGCACTCTGGAAAGTTGGCTGCTCGATGTGCTAAATTGAGAAATTTGTGGGACATAAACCTGTAGCGAAGCATAGCATCCATGTTTGGATTTTCGATTATATTTCTCCCCAAATTGTCTTGTATAGTTCCACTCCTTGCTTCTCGTGTCCATCGCTTCAGCACGTAGTGTGGTGGTAATGACTTGATATTCATCAAATCAAGAACTTTCAGAGCATGGGCACACAATATCCCAATTCTATCGAATCGCCTGCAGCTGCATTGAACTGTTTGCTTCAAAGGATCTCCGATAACTTTGTACTCCTCCTCATAGGTGAAATCTCCTACTAGATATTCATTGTTACCATCCAATTCCTTGCTGCAAGCTGCCAAGGATTTTTCATATTCACCTTGAAAAGCTTCAAATATAATAGGTGTATACAACTTGCTAGCTTGCACCAACATAGGTGGTGGCCTCCGCATACAGATTTTAGGCAACTTTTTCCTTGATTCAAATTCTGAATTCAGTTTAGTATTCCTTTTTCCTTGCACCACCCTTTCAAAATGCTTAAAGAACCGGATGATATCAAAATCAGATTTAAAATGGTTTTTCAAGTCATTATTTAGACTTTCACTCAATTGTGTACTTCTCATTCCTAATGTGAAGACATCTTTCATATAGCATTCGGCCCATTTTTCTTTCAACTTGTATATACTATCCAACCAGGTTTGCTTGCTCACTTTTGCCCTCATGATGTCAAATTTTTGTTCAAATGCTGCCATGTCTTCGTACTCATATATGCATGCACTAAAATCTGACAGAACACTTGTGTCTTCTTTGCTCTCCTCATTCTTCACTCCACCTAAATGTTTGATTGCATAATGTGGAAGGTGCATAATCCATGCCACGCTTCTGAAAACACTTCTGCAACTGCCTTTCCCATTGCCAAATCTTGGTCGGTATAGATTGTTTTAGGCTGCTGTCCATTATGAGCTTTTAGAAAGGTCTCAAACAACCATTTGAGGACTCAAAAGTCTCATCATACATGAGAGCAGCACTAAAAATTACAGTTTCTCTAAAGTGATTGAATCCCACAAAGACACCAAAAGGCCTACTCTCATTGTTTGTTCCAAAAGTAGTATCAAAACTAACAACATCACCAAAACGTGCGTAGTCTGCGATCATTTTAGCATCAGCCCAAAATATGTTCGCTATTTGTTCTTCACAATCCATTTGCAATGCATATTGGAATGATGGGTTCTCAGCAATTTTGTCTTGAAAATACTTAAGCATGCTACCTGCTTGGCCATATGCCATCTCCCGTTGTCGCTTGGTCCGTAGATAGTTCCTATGATCTCGGAGTGTGTAGCTAAGGTTGAGGGATCCACCAACTTGGCGACTAGCCAACTCATGTGCCGCTTTCGGTCCTATTCCTGCATCATCGGCTGTTTCAATTTGAAAAGCTTGCAAATCTGAAATTTTTCTTTGTGACACCATTAAATGTATGGTTTCCGGCAAGTGTAGTGCATGGTTGTGTTCCAATATCAGATCAGACACTATATAATTTCCCTTCTTTCTATTCATTTTGAGATTCATGTGGACTTGACAATCGGTTCTAGTTTCAGCTCGAGGACACTTGGTTAAATGATCCCTTTTGTCTTGCAATCGATGACCTTCATTTGCACAAACAAATCTACATGATGTAACACTGCCATCCGACTTGCTTCTGTTTGTATACCTTTTTCTAACCTCAAAACCTTTCTGCCCACTGTAGCTAAGCCAAAATGCCCAAGCCTCATCTGAATTTGTAAATTCCATGCCAACCCGAGGTACCAAACCAGGCATCAAGTTATCTCTGTATTAAAAAAAAACTAATGAGTATGAAACTAGTGCATAGATATGCTGACCAAAAATCGCCAAAACCATGCTGTAAACATTGATTACATATTAGCACACATTACATGCTGTCCATGGCCTTGTATAATTGTATTACACACCAATGTGCTTCCATCGCAGGACTGTTTGACATTGTTTGATGGCAGGTCTCGGCAAGATTTTCAGCTAGCTGCTTCTTCCATGAGAAAAGGGGAAACTTGATCGATTTCAAAGCAACCTAATGGTGGAAGTTTGATTCAGTGAGCCATTCATGAGAAGTAGAGGCCTAGAGGGCATAAGAGAGGGTTTAGACTTACAAGATTGAAGTGCAGAAAAGCTCCTGTCCGGCGATCACCTCCTCCACTCACGCCAAAACTTAACAAAATTGTTCCATCCGGGTACGGCGATCGCTGCTCATTGGCCGCTCGCGCCAAAACGCGCGAGTGTGTTCCTTCTCGCGCGCTTTGCCGCCAATCCCTTCCACTGACGCGCCTTTTTACCTCCCTCCGCATGGTTTGCAAATGGGCCGAAGGGAGCAGCTGGGCAACGCTGTTGGGCCGAACAATATAGAACCAAGCAGCTGAACGTACGAACAAAAAGGAAATCACGCTGTCGCCGTTGGATTCGGAATGGACGCGGATGAAGCGAAGTACATCCCTCTAACGTAGATGAGGATCTGCTTCCGTCTCCTCCCCACCCAGCGGCTGTGCTGCAGTGAGCCAGTGAGAGAAAAGAAGAGAGAGAGAGAGAGAGAGAGAGAGGTGGAGAGTAGGGCTGTCAAAAAAGCTCGGAGCTCGCGAGCAGCTCGAGCTCGGCTCGTCGCAAGCTCAGCTCGAGTTCGACTCGGCAAGGATTCGAGCCGAGCTCAAGCTTGTCTCAAAGCTCGCGAGCTCTACCGAGCCGAGCTCGAGCTATTCGGCAGAAGCTTGAAATTTTCACTCCCGCTACCCATCCCAATTTTTCCCGCACTCCAATTCCAAAATCCTACCACCAACAGCAGTCCATCACCTAACCATTTATTTCCCTTATATCCCCATCCCGTATCCAAACCATAGCTCATTTGCTCTCTTCCTCGAAACATTTCTCTTCTAGATCTACAATCCTAGGCTGCTCTAGTGCTCCACTGACCACTGCTGTGGATCTAGCCAAGCACCGTCCATCCTTCGCCTCTCCTGTCCAGGAAGAACCCCATGGAGGACAGCAGCAGCCCACCGCCTCCGCCGTGAGTGACGAACCGACGACTCGGATCTGAGTAAGTTTCCTCTTCTTTCTTTGTTTTACATTTTTATTTCTTTTGCACCCACATGTATCTAGGGCCCTACATGTATTAACTGTGTAGTGTTTAGTTGCTTGATGGGTGTTATTGATTTACATTGAATTTTATGGACTAGGTGGAGACATGGAGTAGTACTTATCTTGCTGTGCTCCTCTTCTGAAGAAAGACTGAAGGTTGCAGAACACCGTGTGTTTGCCATTTGCCAAGGTAAATTGATGGCAATGCTTTTCTTGTTGTACTTGTTTGATTCCTTCCCTTGTGCAGAATATATATTGATAGCAGTTGGTATTTTTAATTTTTGTAGATGTCTGTAAACCTGCAAAGACAGCTATCTATAGAGATCGAGTCACCGAGCAATAGGGATGGCATAGCAGCAACAGAAGCACAACCGAATCAGCAGCTAGTACCAGGTGAAGTAAGGGGAGAAGAGGGCCAAGAGGGAAACCCAACTAAAGCCACCAGGAAAAAGAAATCTCCATTGTGGGATTTCTTTGAAGAATGCACTGTGCCATCAAAGAAGAAGAAAGGAGAAATGGAAAATAAGGTCAAATGTAAGGCATGTGAAACTCTGCTCACCAAGAATAGTAGTGGCACTACAACACATTGGCGGAGGCATTTAGAGCAGTGTGATTATCACAAGCTTCAACAAAAATCCATAAAACAACATAATATCAATTTCCCTAGCCTTGATGAAGGTGATGTTGATCTTGATGCTCCTTGTGTTTCTGTCCCTGGTTATTATGATACTACAAAGATACGTGAGCTTATTTGCAAAATGATCATTGTCCATGAGTTGCCATTTTGCCTTGTGGAGTATACATGGTTTAATGTTTTGCTAAAGAGGCTAAACCCTTCTTACAAAAAGGTCTCTAGAAATACCATTAGAAGTGATTGTATGAGGCTTTATGAATCTGAAAAAGAAAAACTGAAGAGGACTTTCAAAGATGTTAGAAAGATAAGCCTCACATGTGATCTTTGGACCTCTAACCAAACAATTTGCTACATGAGCCTTGTTACCCACTACATAGATGCTGATTGGTCAATGCATTGTCGTGTTATTAACTTTCTTGAGTTGGAGCCTCCACATACTGGTGTAGTTATTGCTAATGCCATTTCTGATTGTCTTGCTTCATGGAGAATTGAGGACAAGATAGCTAGCATCACATTTGACAATGCCTCAAGTAATGACAGTGCTGCTAACCTGTTGCTTGCCAAGTTTACAAAACGTGGTTCACTTTGGTTTTATGGAAAATTCCTTCATATCTGCTGTTGTGCTCACATTTTGAACTTAATTGTCCAAGATGGTCTGGCTGTGATTAAGCATATAATTGACAAAGTTAGGGACACTATCAAGTACATCAAGAAATCAAACAATCCAGCATACAAGTTCAGTGCTGATATTGATTCTCTCAACCTTAAAAGTGACATGGGTTTGGCTATTGATTCCTGCACAAGGTGGGGCTCAACCTTCAAAATGCTGCAATCTGCATTTTTTTATAGGTCTGCCTTGGATGTATATGCTGCAGGAGATGCAAACTATAGGTGGCTGCCAACACCAGAGGAATGGAATCTATATTGTGAAGTCAATGATGCCCTTTCTGTCATTCATGCAGCCACTGAGGAGTTCTCAGGTTCAACCTACCCAACATCTAACCTTTTTTATTCTCACATTGTCGATATTAAGAGAGTACTAGGTCAGTTGTTGAAGTCCAAAGACCCAATTCTTAAATAAATGGCAAATGCAATGCTTGAAAAATTTGAGAAGTACTGCGGCCCAGAATGCAATACTTTGTTTGCAGTTGCTTTGGTTCTAGACCCAAGGTTTAAGATGGGTATGATTAACTACACATTCCCTGCTTTGTATGAAGAAACTGTACTTCCTAAGAAACTTGCAAATGTCGAATCCACATTGAAATCTTTGCATGCATCATATGAAAGTGAACTCCAGAGCACATCAAAGGAAAATGATGCCACCACTCAATCTACTAGTACATCTCTAGGCACTACTAGTAGTCATTTCTCTGCTGCTAGCCAATTTCATGAGTATATGAAATCAAAGAATGCTGCTAGTCTTCCTAAGTCAGATTTAAAGAGGTACTTAGATGATCCTGTTGAGGATATTCCTGCAAAAAGTTTCAATCTACTTCAGTGGTGGAGGATGAATGAATTAAAGTATCCAATTGTGGCAAAGTTGGCCAAGGATATTCTTACTATTCCCATCACCTCAGTCTCATCTGAATCAGCTTTCAGCACAGGGGGTCGAGTGATTAGTGATTATCGCAGCTCTTTACTCCCATCAACAGTACAAGCTTTGGTGTGTACATCTAATTGGATTAGAGGAGGCCACCACAAAAGCACAGATTTAGTAAGTTCTTATATTTTCATGTTTCTAACCAATTAATAGAGATACACAATCTAATAATCTGTGTTTACTTGTTTGTTGCATACTAGGAGGATGATACTAATTCTATTATCCTTGTCCCAACTCAAGCTTCAACTGCAAATTCGGTTGTGGGCAGCAATTAGACTCGTTTGTCAGGTATATGTTTGAGGTTATATAAATTATCTATTGCTACCATATCAATTCCTCATCACTGATGAAACATTACCTATAATCTTTGCACATGGTTTCAGATTTAACTTTACGAAACATTAATGCAGGCATATAGCATAGCATCAACAATTAGTTTGAAGAAAGTGCTTGGAGGTTTCACATTGGCGTACTGCCATTGCCAATAGTGGAGTAAATATTTTGTGACAGTTGAAATTTGAAGTACGCTGTGTTAGTAGTATAAGTAATATTTAGATATTAGAGCTTTTAGATGGAACATATGTTGGGAACTTCCGGTGGGCTACTTTTGATGTTAATTGATGCTCTATGTTCTGTCAAGTCATTGACACATGATATTGTAATGTTTCTTATGGTGTTATACACACCGGTCTATTATAAAGTAGTAATCCTATTATGACTTATGCACTACTATGAATTTGTAATCTTTCTAGTATATACCTGTCGAGAAGCTATTATATTCTATAATGAATTTGTAATCCTACTTTGGCTTGTTAAGAAGCTTTTATTGGGAGATAAGTTCAGATTGCTGAAGGAAACAGTCTTAACGAGCTTCTACGAATTGAGCTCGAGTCGAGCCGAGCCTTGATCGGGCTCGAACCGAGCCTACCTTCAAGCTCGAAGGTAATGCTGGGCTCGGCTCGAGCTCGGCTCGAGCCTGTACCGAGCTCGAGCTTAGGTAGGTAAGCTCGCTCGAGCTCGGCTCGTTGACAGCCCTAGTGGAGAGGGGGAAGAAGAGGCTGACACGTGGGACCCACGCTGAGCCAGCTGCCACGTCAGATAAAACCGGAGTTAAAACCGCCAAGGGACCTACTTTACACTGGTTCTGTAAGTTGAGGGATACGTTAGTATCCGGTTTTGCGGTTTGAGAACGATTTTGTAACTCGATGACAAGTTGAGGGACCTTCGGTGTACTTTTTCCTTGTTTTCCACTGGCGAAACTTGTGTAATAAAACCGCGACATCTGGGACGTTGATCGCCGATCTGACGGCTCTGCGCGTGTCTGCAGCCACTCTACAAGACTACAACTACTGCCAATCCCGGCCCACGGCCCAATCCAGCCGCGCCTCTCCGTGGCCCAGAAGATGCTGCGCCGCCTACCGCTCCGCCTCGCGCCGACGCTCGCCGGCGGCGGCGGCGGCGCCATCCCCCACCGCGTCCTTCGCGGCGCGTGCACCACCGCGCCAGCCTCCAGGCCCCCGCCCTACCCGCTCTCCCCGTCCGACCTCGACGCCGTCTCCGCGCTCCTCCCGCGCCTCGTCTCCGCGGGGAACGTCCCCGCCGCCGGCCGCCTCCTCACCGCCGCGCTCCTCCTCCCGGGCTCCACGGAGCGCCTCCCGTTCTCCCCGCTCGCCGCGCACCTCGCCTCCATGCCCACCCTCACCCCGGCCTTCGCGCTCCTCACCGCCATCCGCCACCACCCGCTCCGCCCCTCGCCGCTGCCCCTCGCCACGCCGCTCCTCGGCCACCTCCTCTCGCGCCGCCGCGCCCGCGAGGCCGCCTCCGTCGTCCGCTGGCTCTGCCGCCCGGACTCCCCGCAGCGGCCCGACAGCGCCACCTTCGCTGTCGCCGTCGCGGGGCTCTGCCGGCTCGAGGACCCCAGGAACGCGCTCGCCGCGCTCCGGGAGATGGCCGTGGACGGGATACGGACCTCGGCGAAGCTGCGGGAGTCGGTGCGGGACGCGATGCTGCAGGACGCGAGGATCGAGGAGGCGTGGGCGCTGGAGGCGGCGATGAAGCAGCCGGACTCCGGCAAGCTGGCTGAGCTGGTCCAGAAGCTTCTCGAAGAGTGGGAGGACTGAGACATTGCCGAGGTCGAAGGATATTGGTTCTCCCTTGCTTCTCGATCAAGGTAGAATTTCCCAATGCATTTTTCTTCGATTTGTTCAATGTCTAGTGCAACTGAGCATGTGATGTTATCACTGAGAAATTAATTAGTGAAATACTGATATACTCCATGTGGTGATATGATCTTTGATAGCATCTGTAAATTGTTCGCTGAGCAGTCGATAATCGTGTCAATGCGATTCTCTAAATTTTCGCAAACCTGAAAGCTTCACCTGATAGAGTTTGCAAATGGGTTGGGAATAGCATATCTATGAAATTGTGTCGACATTAGTTCAGATTGTTGCAGCATGAGAGCCCAGAAATTCATATGGTGGAGCTTTCGCAACAATTTTGCAGAGTTTCTTGAATCCAAATACGAGAAGCTGATTTTGCTACAGGTTGATGTAAAAAATGGATGTGCAGTTTGGTGTAAAACTGGATGTGGTGTTCAAATTTTGCAACCATACCAAAGCATACTTTTCATTATGAAAGATGGACACCGGTGTCTTATCTATGCACAATTCTTAAAAAGGAATAGTAAGAAAAAGAGGCAAATGGTCAGACCTACTAGTAGTTATATGAGGGTATCGTTTGTTGATGGGAACTCTCTGTTCATGGTCTGAAAATTAACACAGGCAAACTTTGCATTCTTGCAGGCACAACGTGTTGAAAAATGGACTTTTTTCAGAACAAAGAACAGACAGTTCTCCCTAAACAGAGAGTACAAAGCTTCGGGTTTATAAGAACTTGCAAGATTAGGATTACAAAGCTTCTAGTTTATAAAAACTTGCAAGATTAGGATTAGCGATTGATTTATCTATCAAAGAGATGTTTATAAGAACTTGCAAGATTAGGATTAGCGATTGGTTTATCTATCAAAGAGATGGTTTATAAGAGATGATAAGTCACCTGTACAATGTCGTGATTCTATTCTTTTAGGGTGTGTTTGGATAATGAAAAATGGGGGATGGGATTAGAATTGGGAAATGAATGAAGGGTTAAGATTAAATGAAAGAGGGAGAATGAACAGTTACGATTTAAAGATGTCTTTTTGTAGGTGGGAAATCATTTCCCTTTCCCATTAGCCGAACACTGCCTTAGCTGAAGTCATTTGGGTTCCACATAATTTATCTACATCACAGTGGCTAGTTTTATAACTGACTGGAACTTTTCGCTTAGACTCTATTTAGTTTCCAAAAAACATCACATTGAATCTTTGAATATATGCATGAAGCATTAAAATATAGATAAATGCAAAAAAAAACTAATTGCACAGTTAGGGAAAAAATCGCGAGACGAATGTTTTAAACCTAATTAGTCTATGATTAGCCATAAGTGATACAGTAACCCACATGTGCTAATGATGGACTAATTAGGTTCAAAAGTTTCGTCTTACGGTTTCCAAGCGAGTTATAAAATTATTTTTTTCATTCGTGTCCAAAAAACCCTTCCGACATCCGGTCAAACATCTGATGTGACACCTAAAATTTTTTTTTTCACGAATGAATTGAATCGCAAAAGCTAAATTGCATGGGCCGGAGTCTTGTCTTCTGAATTATTTTTTCAACTCCTGGTTACCTTCTGGCTGACAAGGCTTTCTTTGAAGCAAATCACAAAAGCTAGGGTATTGATTTACAGATGCCTCAAAATCTGAGGTTTAACAGATGAAATTACCAGAGAGTGGCCTGCGCCGAGAGTGGGTAGTACCAGAACTTTTGGCCTGTTTCGTGAAGAATTTTGAGGTAAATTGGGTGTAGAGTTGTAATATGAACATCATTTCAACGCGCTAAGCCCTCATAAGAAGAGAGTAAAGCCAGGACATTGAGCAAGTTTCAGAATATCCAGTATTATGAGAATAATCACGCAAAATTGGCAGACAATCTGGTACAGTAATGCAAAAAACGTTTAACTTGTTTGCAAAAGCACAAAACTGCCAAAGTACAAACTGCCTAACATCAATATCCTCTGTTCCAGCGCAGCATTTATCAAGCAAAAAGAACAAAAACATCCAGCATTTCTTTTCTTTCCAGATATACAGCATGAGAACTCTTCTTACCCACTTCTGCCCCCCTTGGCTTACAGAAAAGGGTAGGGACGAACACGCAAACCACAATCTCACACCTTCAATGAGATTCAGCCCGGTTCCTTCAAAAACCCACCGAACGAGCACCATCCTTCGCACAGTCCGCATCGAGCACAAGAACATTTTTTCTTCCTCGAGCGACCAAAGATTAACGAGGCCAGCCACGACAAAACTGATGCAATTCAATAGAAACAGCAAAAAGGGAATGTGTAAATCCTTAGGCCACCTACTGAAGAACTAGGCATGCACGCCATTTCCATTGGGATAATATGTTCCATTGGAAAGACCATTGGCAAGCTTCTTTGCGTGCCCATTTTGGTGTACTGTAGATGTGTAAGCACCATTGCTCAGAGAATGTTTAGTAGAAACCACGTGGCCATTGCAGCTGCCTTGCAGCAATCTATCCAGTTGCCCAGATGAGGCAGCAATTAGTCCTGCAAAAGTGTAGTGATGATTAACATGTAGTTTCGAAAGCTTGTGTTTACACTTTACAACACAAAGTACAATTAAAAAGGTTCGTGAACAAGCATACTGAACCAAACTACAAGCAGAATATTATTTGGCATCTTACCGACAAAGAGTGGAGACGGTTTTGAAGGTCTTGACTTGAATTCAGGATGGAATTGTGCACCAACAAAATATCGGTGATTGGGGATTTCAATTATCTAGAAATAGCAAATCTGTCAAGAGGTAACAGTGGCAAAAAAGGAAAAATATTTAAGCAAGTCTCAGTTTTAGTCGAACCTCCATTCTCCTTCCAGTCTCATCTTTCCCAACAAACTGAAGTCCAGCATTTTCAAACTCTGGCACCATATCTGGATTCACCTGTGAAGTTGTAGATGTTTCAGTCCATGTTACAAGAAGCAAATAAATCGAAACTTATAAGAGCTTAAAGACCATACAATACATGGAACATTTCATAGCATTTAGATGTACATCTATGAACCGACACAATGTGATCAACAGACCTCATATCTGTGCCGATGCCTCTCATCTACATAACTGACATTGCCATACCTACAGCAGAACACAATTATTTCAGGGGATGCAACAAATCGCAAGGACTCTTAAGCACTGGGGCCATAATGGTTATGCAGAAAGGCCTATATGTGCACTCACAATTTAGCAGACTTGCAATCAGCAACCTCGAAAAATGTCCTCCTTGATCCTAGGCGCATCGTGCCACCCATATGTGTTTTAGAACCCTGAGTTAACATACATAAAGATTTAATTCAAGGGAAGGCAGTGGGAAGTTGACTTTAAATTCAAAGAGGTTCCCAAAATAATTACCTCAGGCATAAAAATAACACATGGGGTCTTGGCATTGGGATCAAATTCTGTGCTGTTTGCTTCAGGGAGATTCATGACACTTCGAGCAAATTCAACCACAGCAAGTTGCATTCCAAGGCATATGCCAAGATATGGTACATTGTTTTCACGGGCATACTTGGCAGCCAAAATCTTCCCTTGAATACCTCTATCTCCAAAGCCACCAGGTACTAAAACACCATTGGCACCCTGAGATGACAACCGTTCATAAAACCATGACAGGCAATAATTTATCCATTATAACTCATATATGCAACAGCATTACAAGTTTTTCAAAACGCCAAAATAATTTAAAAAAAACCTTACCTTCAGTAAATCCCATGCTGCTTTATAAGCATCAGGCGCCTAGAAATTTAGCAAGGAATGATTAAGAAAAGAAAACAGCTCAAATTGGTTTGAATTATGCTGCTACTGCCTAACCTCAATGGCAGTGGAGTCTTCGAGATCAGTAGAAGCAACCCAATCAACAAGAAGCTTCCTGCGGCAATCAACAGAAGCATGCAAGAGTGCCTACACATATTACGCAGCACACTCAGATATTAGAAAACAACTGTCAAATTTATAAAATACAAGCATATTATCACCATGGTAATCTAGCTCACCTTCAACACAGAGAGGTATGAATCAGATAGACCAGTATACTTCCCAACCATAGCAATCCTCACCTGAAATGAGAGCATTAGTCAATGGGAACTAAGAATAAAAAGACCAAATGGGAAAATTGAAGTAAGAAAAAACTAACAGTATCCTGAAGTGCATCAAATAACGTAGCTCTTGCGACCCATTCATCCAACTTTGGCCCCCGAGCAAAGCTGCAAGTTTATAAATAAATATCCAATCGCATCAACTGCCTCAATACACAATAATATAGGTTGGGGAAAATTTAAATGACTAGATATATCGACAAACCTATCAAGGTTCAGCACTTTAAGAATGGCTTCATGTGCCTTTTGGTCCTAAATGGCAGAAATGAGATATGCACTGTTAAAACAGGATGTGGGATACGCCAAAAAAGAATTTTTTTGTAAGGGGGAAAAGAGAGATGTGACGTACCCGTAGCAACAAAGGAATACGCCAAATGTTGGAAACATCATACAGAGTGACAATGTTAGCTGCCTGCAGAATGCCAATAAATAATGAGCTAACAGGAGCAGTTTTAGCTGCCAAAGCTTATTGATCAATCCTGACAACATAAGTTTACAGTACATTACCGGTACATGGCAGAACTGAGAGAGTTTCTCCTTCACATTTTCTTCCAGTTCCTGATAAATAATATTGCAGTTCAAGAAATTTAGTCTTAAGAAAAGATTCAGGGACTACCAAGATACAGAATAAAGGTAAATGAAAATTTTCAGCTAACCTTAGTACTGCGACAGGCTAAAATATTTGGTGTGAGCCCAAGACCCCTTAATCCACGGACACTATGTTGAGTCGGCTTAGTTTTCTACAAGAGTAAATAGCATAGATGTAGAGGAAATTGTCAAATGTATTGCGACTGCACCAACTTACCAAAATAAGACCATAAAAGCCATAAGATGGATTAATAAACAGTACAACATAATAAATGAATCAACAGTGTGGTACCTGTTCACCAACAACATTCAGAACTGGAACAAGACTAACATGCACCAAACAAAAGTTACCAGGACCTGACAGCCAAAGTAATGTCCAACAAGAGATTATAATACCAGCTACATAGCAAAAGGTGAGCACAGTATATTTAGTATGCATGTAACTGTGCAAGGTCCTCACCAACACGATATGAGAATTGGCCCAAAGCTTCGATAAATGGCATAGATTCAATATCCCCTGCAGGAGTAACAACACAATCAAGCTACAAGAAACCAGTTCTAAATTTTCTATTAGGACAACTAACAACCAAAATAAAATAAAATAAAACTAATTATCTCATGCTCACCTATAGTACCCCCAAGTTCTATCACACAAACATCAGCTGGTCCCTCCTTGCCATCTACAGGTACCATTGCGACACGCTCAATCCACTCTTGTATGGCATTTGTGATATGCGGGACAACCTTGAGAAAGAATCATTGAATGATCAGAACGAAAAGAAACATACATGCAGAGGTTACTAGGACAGACAGAGATAAGTTCACATCAAATGAACCACACCTGAACAGTCTTTCCCAAGTATTCCCCCTTCCTTTCCTTTTCAAGAACGGACTGTCATTGAACATATAGAAAGGCAAAAATAAGTGTCAGAAAAAAGTCAAAGCAGTTTGTTATGCAGGGAGCAGCAACTGTATTTACGATGTCACATATTTGACACGATATTAATCTTGTATATCCTGGTGGTTAAAAAAGTTCGCCTGAGCCCTTAATACAATCATCAAGTCACATAAGACAACAATGGCATCATTTTCCTTCCTATGTAAAATATAGTAACGTCGACATCAATTGAACCAATTTAAAATTATTCTGAATGTTTGTATACCAAAGAATGCCGTAAAATAGCAATATTTCCAAGCTCTTAGAATTTATAAAGAGAATTAAGTATGAGACTTTAAATTGGATATATTAGAAGTGCCAAATATAAAACAAAAGACCATGTAAATTAAGCTTTTAAGAGGAGAAACTAATTTGTTTACCTGGTAGATCTTTCCTGTGGTTATATTATTGTCCCTGGTTAGTTTAATGTCAAGAAACCTCTCGTAATTCCCAAGATCCAAGTCCACCTGCAAGATGAAAACGACAACACTCCTTGAGATAAGTAAAAATGTGCTAATCCTAGTAAAATCTGATTTGGCCACATCTCAATACCTCGCCACCATCATCAAGCACAAAAACCTCACCATGTTCGAACGGGGACATGGTCCCAGCATCTGTGTTAAGGTAAGGATCTGCACATTCAGAAAATGCAAAGAGAACATGTCAACCTCAAGAAGACAAAAGAAAGCAACTAGAGCATTTGAGCAAGTATTAGCTGGCTTGCCGCCACAATTTCTACAAGGCACAAGGTAAAGCCAAGTGCAGCAACAGTACAAAAGTCAGAAGGCTACAACAGCAAAAACAAAGCAGGGTTTAGGTGATATTGGATAAGAAAAACAACGAGAAAACAAACCACGTAACATAACGTTGAATTAAGTCAAAGATTCCAATGTGCTAAGGTGGCATCCTATGGTTTGAGAAATGATATCTAAATCATCATTCACAGCAGCGGATATCTAAATTAGCATTTGCTATCCCTCTACAAGGCATCTGATAGACAAGGATGGGAGGGAAAACCTAGTCTTTTCCAGCTACCTTGTTTTCATGGCACAGCAGGAAGGAGTAGCAGTCAGTCTAATCTAAACATGATACTTATAGCAAAGTATAACACATCCAATTAAAGCATATGTTGCCAAGTATCAGGAGCTTGCTCGTGCGACTTTCACAAATATTAACAGGTACCATGAGGTTAAACCCTTTAGGCCAATAGATGCCACAGGTAAACGTGTAAACCAGTAAAGTATAAAAGTCAGAAGCTAGTATAACATTAGACCCAATCCTGCATGGGGCACACCATTTCTTCAGACTTCAGACCTCTACCTTATTACAAGCAGATGATACCCAAATCACCAGCAGACAAAAAAATCAGCACAAAACCCCCCTGAAAATGATATCCTTCTAAGTGTAAACACGGGAGGGCATATCAACTTATCGTCTTCTAAGTGCAAACACGGGGACATGTACATGTACATGTATGCCATTAATCCGTAGTGTAATCTTTAGAATAGGTGACAAAGCTCTCTCTGTTGGCAGTGAAGAGAACTCAATCAAAAAGGCAATCACGAATCTGCCTCTCACACCGCGAACGAGACAAGATTTCAACAAGCTAATCGACATCACATCCATTCCTTCTCCCTTCAGAGCCACGGCCGAGCCCTAAAACCCCTACAACGGGGGCCGAAACAGAATGCAACGGCGAGTGGAAGGTTCAAAAGAGGTACTTTTCAGTTTTCACCAAACCCAACCAATGAATCTCAGTCTCCCCTGCACCTACTCCCCACCCACACCCCTCACGCCCGCACGAATCGCTCGAAAGCCCAAATCTTCCGCCCCTGCCCGCCCGCCCGGATCGACCTCTCAGACCCCCTCCTCCCCTCCCCCGCAAAATCACCCGAATCTCGGGGGGGGGGGGGGGGGGGGCGGATTCCCGGCGGGGCACGTACCGATCTTGATGGAGGTAATGCGGAGCCCGCACGACTTGAGGACGACGCCGATGCTGCTCGCCGTGACGCCCTTCCCGAGCCCGCTCACCACCCCGCCGGTCACCAGCACGTACTTCATCTCGCGCCCCCGGGAGAGAGAGAGAGAGAGAGAGCCACGCGCGGCGAACCTTCTTCCCCCTGAATCCCTCCGGAGTCGAGCGCCGCCGCGCAGCCCGAGGAGGAGGGAGGAGGAGGGTTTTGGGGGGAGGAGGAGGAGGGCGCGCCGCGCAGCCGCCTCTCGACAAGGGGAGAGAGGAAGGGAGGAGGAGGGGGGGCAATGGAGGCGGCAGAGGGGATGAGGGCTTTGGGAGTATTTATAGTGGAAAAATCTCTTCTTCTTTTTTTTGCCCATCATTTTCATTTTCCTTTCATTTCCATTTTTATATATATTATTTTAATATTATAAACAGTTGTTTATTTATTTAGTACTACTATCTCTTGCGTTCTCTGCGGGTGTTTTTAGTTTTAAGTGGCCGTTGTTTTCGTGTTGAGGGGGAGGGGGGGTTGGTTTTTCTGTTTCGGCCAGATCTAGGGAAAATGGGAAGTAAAGGTTTTTTTTTTTCTGTTTCATTTTGGTTGCCTATAAAAATTGTAGTACTCATTCCCTTACTGAGAACTGCTAAAATACATGTACTATTGCACATGTGCACATGTCACACGCTCTAGTGCATCACACTTATATAGTGTAATTTCAACCCTTATGGTTTGAAACGTGTATTACTTATTCTTTTTTTACTATGTCATAAATATTTAGGCCCTCTTTGTTTAGGTTTATAAGCCAACTTATAAGTCGAAAAGCCTAAACAAACAAGCAGCTTTTCCATTTGGCTTTTTTGAAGCCATAAGCCACTCTAACACTATTAAGCCAAAAGCTAGGTTGGAGAAGTTTTTTTTAGCTTATGTGAGGTAGATATATGACTCAACTACTAAACTTAGGACATTAAATCCACCAGCTTATAAATCATATAAGCCAATAAGCTGACTTAAAAGTCTAGGCCAATAAGCCTAAGCCTAAACAAAGAGGGCCTTAATGTTTATGATAAGTTTCGATTAAATTTTTAACCATTAGTACGTATGATATTCTCTCCCATGTGCTTTCTCATTGCCAATTTTACAATCGATTTACACAAGAGGCCCAACCTTTGTCATGGGGGTGCAAAGGTTGCGAGCCCCTACTATCAACCTTGGGACTATGGAAACCCCCCCCCCTAAACCCTATCTAATTTTCTTTTGTCATATATCTATATAAAAAGGGCTGAAGTTTTGTCTAGTTTCTTTGGTTCCACTTGCTATCTTTTACTCGATCCGCCATTCATTTCACTCTAGATCAAATCTGTCCGTAGCAAGGTATATAATGTTCAAGTACTTAAAGATATGTGGCAAATGTCGATACTATAGAAGAATTTCGTCATGAATACCAAATGTTCAAATGAAAAACTTTTTCAACAACAAGGTACCCAAAGTTCAACCAATCCAATACCCTTCTCCATGCATACTCTCTCATGATTTTTCAAGTGTCGAATCTCTACTAGTGAAAATTGAGTCCTAGAATACTACCAGGATGAGCCACATCATTTGATTAATATCAACCGTTAGGTTCATGAAGTGATAAAATAGATAGAATAAATCTCAGCCATTGAATGAAAGAGGGTATACTAGAATTTTCTGGTACTCCCTCAACGTGGCAAAGAGATAAGAATAGTAGACATTAGAGAGAAAAAAATTGAATTACATGCTACAACACCGTCCATGTCTCACATCCCTGCACCGAGTCAGGGAGCCTGATCCTATGCCCGGTCGATTGAGTTAGCTGACCGACAAATAGGTTTATGAATGTATATGAGATTTGTTTTTTTATACGTACGATTGATCTGTCAGTGATATGGGCCCGGGGTATCAGGTTTTGAGGGAGGAGGCTGCCCCCGATGCCACGTGGCCCTCCCCCGAGGGGAGTCAGGCCCGAGGTGGGGTGGCGGCCACTCCTTCCCCAAAGACTAGTCGGAGGAGGCTGCCCCCCGATGCCACGTGGCTCTCCCCCGAGGGGAGTCAGGCCCGAGGTGGGATAGCGGCCACTCCTTCCCCAAAGACTAGTCGGAGGAGGCTGCCCCCCGATGCCACGGACGCCATGTGGCTCCCCCCCCCCCCCCGAGGGGGGATCAGGCCCGAGGTCGGGCGGCGGCCGCCCCCTCCCGTGACTAGGGGTCGGGCTCCCCCGACCCCCTCTCTAGGTCACCACGTACGGTGGGTTAGGTGTCCGCCTCTAGGTACCCACCTACCCGCATTTATGGTGTCCCGAGCGGTCGCGCCATGCGGCATGCAGTGCACTCAACCGGTTTGTGACCGGTCGAATGACCGATGAGACTGGCTAGTGCGCATGTGCGCTGCTCGTGTGTCAGGCGGCGTGCAGCCTGACATGTCCCATCAAACAGTGATGGTGAGAGGTTCTCATCCTCTTATCCCAGCCGGAGTCGGTCCTCCCGCTCTGGTCAAAGCAAGGCTCCCGTTTCCCGGTGTAATAGGAGCCCAGAAGTCTTCACCCATTAAATGGTGACTGACAGGGGCACCCCCCGTGTCAGGCGGCAAGATTTGACAGGCCCCATCATCAAGACAACGTGTGCTTGGCTTCCAAGCACAGAGACAAGACATGCATTTAATGCAAAGATTATAATACTTCTCCACCAGAGCTAGGTTAGGTTGTTGGGCCCATGTGATAACCCCTTGAGGTATAAAAGGAGGTCCAGGCCTAGTGGTGGAGGGGGGAACTTCCGGGCGAACTGGGGCTTGGGTCTCACAACCCCAAGCACTTGTGTTCTACATTCAATCAATCATGCACAGGAGTATGGTATTACGCTTCTCAGCGGCCCGAACCTATATAAACCTCTCTTGTCTCATCGTCTTGGAGGGGCCTAACCCCCTCAAGATCACACAGCTCCGCTCGCCAAGCCCTCGAATCTCACCCGCTGCCCCCGGCCGAACTCACAAAGGGGGGCCTCACGGTTCCCTGATGGAGGAGTTCATTCTCCGACATGATCCCTAAGAAAAGGGCATACTAAACGAAAATCCCAGATCTCACATCAAGAAAGTTATTATACTATCTCAATGTGAAATAATTAGATACCACTAAAATTTACATACACATCTCTATTCACAACTGTCGTTTGAAAAGTGCTGCTTCTCATCTACTCCGTCCGTTTACAAATATAAGGAATTTATGAATGATAGGTGTGATCTTTACTAAACAAGGTACCAGAGTAATTCCACCTTAATCTTAAACTCTACTAAACAACATAGGACCAATTATATTTGTAGACGGATAGAGTACATAGCTTATAATCAAACGTGTGAACTGACCACATTACAACTTAGAATGTATATTTCATTATTACGACTATGCTTCTGGTTGTTCTAAGAACACCTATTTTAACTAATTACTATAAATAATATTTAACATGTTTCACGGAGGGAAATTATGGTCGCGCAAATGCGTGACGACCTAATAGGCTAGTTTAATAGAAAAAAAAAGATAAATGGATAAAATCCACAAAAGCTTTCTCTCGACACAGGCAGATGACCTAAAAAAACAGTTATAAGAAAGTACATTTGCAAGGATATAAAGAAGGCCTTCAACTTCAACGGATAGGGAAATGATTTCCACTCACTAAAGGATAAAATTTTTAGTTTCAACAATCCTTTCTTTTGACCTTCTCATGCTATCCTAACCATTCATTCATTTTCCGGATTCAAATCTCGCCTCTCAAAACCACATTTACCAAATGGGACCTCGTTGATTGTGGTTCCGGTGCATAGAACCTATAATTTTTCCAAGTTTTATATTAATACCTCAAATTGTCCACTAGGTTCTATTGCCATGCATGGAGCTTGAGAAAGTCCTAAAATTAATCCTATTCTCTTAGGACCAGTGAGAGCACGTTGTTTCTGCTCAAACTATTTTCTCTTCAACACGTACTGTGGCTCTTCGTCGGAATCCTCATCCTCTTCCTAGTTCCTAGTCATGGCCAGCACACATGCTGACATGCATATATTGGTAGCTTCACCAATTTAGCATCAATGAACAAAAGTCCACCATAGGTAATGTCGTAATTAATGAGTAGGAAGCATGTCCTTCGAGCCTAATAACAAAGGGATTTTACTTTTCTCAATCTAATTGCAATATATATAATGTCAATGATTTTCTTAATATATTGTTACACAGCACACTGTACGAGGGGAAATTGGCTTATATATGGTCAGATGACTAGGATACTAGTGCCAATAGTTTCTACCAGATTTAATACACAACTTGTTTCTGTACTACCTCCATTCTCTTTTATTTATTGTTTGGACATCAACACAATCTGCAAATCACATGTTTCACACCGATTAAAATCCTCTAACTTATTTCTCTCTAACTTATGCCACTGATATGTGAATCCTCTATCCAGCGAGTCCATATGTCAGACTTTAAGTCAGGTGGAAGTAAAGTAGAGGATACTCTCCCGTTCCACACAATTACCTTTTCTAACTACTCCCTCCATCCCAAAATATTTGACGCCGTTGATTTTTTTAAAAATATTTGACCATTCGTCTTATTCAAAAAATTTAAGTAATTATTAATTCTTTTCTTTCATTTGATTTATTGTTAAATATACTTTTATGTATACATATAGTTTTACACATTTTATAAAAACTTTTGAATAAGACGAATGATCAAACATGTTTTAAAAAGTCAACGGCGTCAAACATTTAGGGAATGAGGGAGTATTTACTTAAAAATATTAAAAATGCAATTATATGAAAGCATTTTCCATCATAAACTGCCAATATATCATTCAACATTTTAAATCATAATATTTTCTATAATATAATGATTTGTGATTTTAAGGTTTGGCTGCATGTATTTTAGCACGTCGTCTCTGTAACAGAGAACAACGCGCGATAGTATTAAATCTGGGAGTACACAAAATATGCTCTACCTATATATGAAGATTTCGATGATTTACAAGGATGTATATATATATATATATATATATATATATATATATATATATATATATATATATATATATATATATATATATATATATATATATAATGCTTACGTCCCCTTATACCTCAAAACATCAAATTAAGCCCTCTCTCTAGTAACCAAAAATATTAGACATCACAGAATACGTACAAACTTTGATGTTTTATCCACATATTATCGGTTGTCGCGGCCACACAGCACCCGCAACCACGATGCCGCGCTAGCTACTTCTGTAACATCCAGGATATGCTTTTCTCTAT